TTATTATTATTTTTTTTTTTTGGTACCGGGGATGGAACTCGGGACCTTTCGCTTGCAAAGGCAGGCGGCAGAATCACTGAGGTAAATCCCCGGACCCAATTAACTATTTTAAATGTAAAGGGCTTAAACTCTCCAATAAAAAGACAAAAGATGGACAGGTAAGATTTTTTTTTTTTTTTTTTCTAGTTGCCGCGGTATATGCCTCACTTATCTGTATGTTTTTTTTTTTTTTTTTTTTTGGTACCGGGGATCGAACTCGGGTCCTTGCGCTTGCGCAGCAGCCAGCGAAACCACCGAGCTAAATTCCCGGCCCTAGGTAAGTTTTAAAACATGGTTCAACGATATGCTTTCTACAAGACTCATTTTAGATCCAAAGACACAAATATATTGAAAGTGAAAGGATGAAATAAGCCATTCCAGGGCTGGGGCATAGCTCAGTGGTATAGCACTTGCCCTAGCCAGTGGCAGGACCCTGGGTTCATGCCCCAGCACCGTTTAAAAACAACAACAACATCAAAGAACTTCAATGTAAATAGTAAAAAAGACCTGGGTTGGTTATACTAAAATGACAAAACAGACTTTAAATTTTGTAAAGGTTATGAGAAAGGTATTACATATTAATCAAAGGTTCAATAAAGCAAGATTACATAAAAGTTATAAATTTTTCCCCACTTAAGAACAAGTTCTCACTTAACAGTTCTACAATAAGAGCTGGAAACTAAAATATCCTCTTTTCAAGACTGGGTAAGACAACCAAATAAAAGATAAGACCATAGGTTAGGCCACAAAACAGGTCAAAAATAGATTTTTATGAGACAGATTTACAAAATATCTTCTCAGACCTTAATGGAATGAAGAAGGGAAATACAAAATTCAAGTTAAAATAAAAATAATAGGTGAGAGAAGAAATCCAAAGGGAATTTTATTTATTTATTTTTTGGTACCAGGGGATCAAACCAGGGTCCTTGCACTTGTGAGGCAGGCGACAGAACCACTGAGCTAAATCCCCGACCTCCAAAGGGAAATTTAAAAATACTTAGAAACAAAAGTAACACAGCATATCAGTGCTTATAGGTTGAAGTGAAAGCAGTGATCAGAGGAAATTTATAGTTGTAAATAACCACAGTAAAAACGAACAGCTGAGGATGTGATTCAGTGGTGGAGCACTTGCCTAGTATATATGAAGGCCTTGGGTTAAATCCCTAGTATGTCATAAAAAAAAAAATGAGGAAGAGGAGGGGGGATTAGAAAAAGGATCTCCAACCTATAGAACTAAGAAAAAAGGCATACTAAAGATAAAGCTAACAGAAGGAAGGGAATAACAACAGAAACAAAGTAGAGAATGGAAACACAACAGGGAAATCAGTGAAGCCAGGAAAAGGAGTGGGTGCCTGTAATCCCAGCTACTCACAAGCAGAGGCAGAAGGATTGTTTGAGCTAAGAAATTCAAGGCCAGTCTGGGCAATATAGCGAAGTCCTATTTCAAAACACACACACACACACAAAACACAATGAAACTAAAAGCTGCAAAAAACCCCCAAAGAGGATGAAATGCTAACACATTCTATGAGGTAGCAGTACTGATAGTAGAGATGAATGCACCATAAGAAAATTACAGGTCAATATCCCTTATGAATATAGATGCAAAAATAACGACAAAATATTAAAAATTCCATCCAAAAAGCATAGTAAAATCATTATTTCCAAGACCAAGTGGGATTCTTGCTAGTAAGCTTCAACATAAAATGAATCAATGTAATAGATCACAAAACTAGGATAAAGATTTGGGGGCACAGGACCATCCCAGTTGATTCAGAAGAGACATGAACGAATCTAGCATCCTTTCATGATTATCCTCTCTTAGAAAACTAGGAATAACAAAAATACTTAAACATAATAAAAGAATCCTGAAAAACACAGTGTGAAAAACATCACATTTGATGTTTTAAACATGCTGAAAACTAGAATGCAGAGAGAAATTAAGATGTAACTAATGAAATGATATCCCATGTTCATAGACAGGAAGACAGTCCTTACATTGCCAACAATGTACAAAGCAACCTACAGATTCAATACAATCCCTATTATGAAAACCTTTTCCAAAGAAATGGAAAAGTTCATCCTTAAATTCATATGAAAGTGCAAAAAACCCCCAAACAGCCATAACATACTACAAAGATACAGTAACTATAAAATATGACACTAGCAAAAGGACGTGCAGATCACTTAACTACAGAACCTAGAAAGTACTTTTTTTTTTTTCAGTTGATTTGAATGGTGCCAAGACCACTCAATTGTGAAAAAAGAGTGATCTTTTCAGCAAGTGACGTTGGGAAAACTGGTTACCCATATGCAGAAGAATGAAGTTGGGTAGTGCTAATGGTGATGGTCACACAACATTATGAATGAAACTAATTTAATGCCACTGAACTTTACAGAATGGTTAAGACGACAAACATTTTTATGACAATAAATAGGTCCCCCCCCCAAAAAAATTTAAAAATTCAGCAAACACTTGGATTGGCAAGGAAAGAAAAGGGCTCTAGAACTATACTTAAATTTTCTGGTCAGGTGCAACGCGTGAACAACGCCGTAACCCAACGCAAGAACTGCTGTATAGGAGACGAGCAGAAGTCTAGAAATGAACTTGAAATAATTAACAGGTACATTAACACCGGTACAACCAATTGAAGATCTCTTCTAGACAAATGACTCGATCTCTGGAAAGATATCTGGGCTGGTGTGAGTAAGCTGTGAAAGGTCAACGCGTTTTAGGTAACAGATGCTATGGGAACGAGGGAAATTGCCTTAGAAATACGTAGAGAGGAAGAACCGCGAGGCAATACCCTACCAAACGCCAACACCGTTAAGCAAGGGGCATAAACCGCTTTCTGCATTCCTGGCTCCCGCGAGGCAGTCCACATCCCTAGGCGGGAGGGACTTACCAAGGTTTAAGCGCGGAAGGGCCTGCAGGCTCAGGCAGGCGGCTGACGGTGGAGGCCTCGCTCAAGAAGAGCCGCCGAGAAGAGAGGCTGGGTCAGCGGATCCTAGAGAAGCGCACTGGGCCGGACCCACCAAGGCTAAGTAGCCACGGCACCTGAGGAAAGCTATCACAGACACCAACAGCAAGAAGTACCGGCACATCGCCCGCGCACCGCCCACTACGCGCAAAGTTCCTCTCTGTCCCCTCCCGCCCCCGTAGCCCTCCGAGCATTCCGATTGGTGGAGATGACCATGGGACCTGGAAGTTGTCTTTGTCCGGCCAGGGCTGCCCTTCCGGTTCCGTTGGGTCCCCCTTTGGCTCAGGTTCCCTGCCCCTCCCCCTTCCCGGAGCCCCGAGGGGCCGGAGCTCCTGGCGGTGCCGGATCCTGACGGCGGCCTTCCCCCGGGTCTGTAAGTGTGGAGGCGGCCTAAGCACCGGGATGGGGTGCGGGTTCTTTCAAAATGGAGCCCCCTTGGGGCCCTACACGGGCCGGGAACCGCACTGGGATGGAAGCTGAGAGGATAGCCTACGCCCCGGGGGAATTAAGGAGCCCTTGGCCCAGCCCACGCTGTGCCCCGCCCCTTTCCCTTTCCTGTGTCTGGAGCGAGTCGCTTAAGAAGGTCCCAAGGACCGCCTCCTAGGACCCCAACCGAGGGCCCTGCTAGTTGGTCTGGACTCTGGATTCTGGGATCTTGTAGAAAGTACCAGAGTTGGGGCCCTGAGCAGAAGAGCCGTGGGAGCCAGCCTAAGACAAGGCCTTCAATGCCAGCCGAATCACTGAGTGCTAGATTACTCTTTTGATGGGGTTTCACTCAATTCAGTTAAGCGCTGCAGCACCTTTTAGACTCGCGCTGACGTTATGGTAGGCACTGGGCATTCGTCAGGTATCTCCATTTTTCAGGGTCAAGTTTGGGAGACATAAACAAGTGTTCCTGTGATATATACCTATGTATCTAATATATGTTATATGTACTAATATATATTAGGTAATTGTCTAATTGTGTCAAGGGAGAGTTGCTCGGAAGCCCTGAGAAAGTGACATCTGAATTATACTTCCTGGTGACGTTAAAATGTGGAAGCCCTTTTCAGGTAGAAGAAGCAGTTGCAATTTTACTAATAGTAATGACTGGAAAAGAGGAAATTAGAATGCAGTGGGGAAACTCCTGTGTATAGGATGGGATTTGAGTTTGGGAAAGTAGAGTGAAGTTCAGATAGTGAAAGGTTTAATTCTAAAGGAGATTGATAGTTTTTTGAAGAGTTTTAAGCAGAAGACTGCACTGCCAAAAATGATTTGGTTCTAGAGAAAGCCTATAGAAAAAGAATTTCTGTAAGCTAAATGTGGACTCTTTTAGTTCCTGTTTAGGTATTCATAATAGAAATTATTTTAAGGAGATAATGGATCAGTGTGGTCAGAGGCAACAAAATCAGAAAATAGAGTTCTGACAGAGTTACTGGAAAGAAGGCGAGTACTATATGCTTTAGATAACAGTGTCAGGATTTCATAACTAATGTGCATTGGAGGAAACTAAATCTGATTCCTAGTTTTAGACCTTTGGTAGTTGAAGAACAGTGATGTCATAACCAGAAATAAAACCATAAAGTTAGTGTAGATTACACACTCATTTTTTAGACATGTTGAGTAAAAGTCTAATGGGATAGCCATGCACAGCTGCCCAGCTTAGAATTGGAAGTGCAAAACTTGGAGATCAGCCTAAATATGGCAGCCAGAGGTAAAGGCTTTAGTTATCAGCACAGAGGTGGAAGCCATGGAAATAAATAGCTGGCATCAAGAAGGGAATATTGAGAAGGAAATCTGCAGAGTAATGGTTGCATTTATGAAGCAGAAAGAGGAATTGGAACAACAGTAATTATTGTAATAGTAGAAAAAGAGGTAGTAGGAGATAAAGTGTAAGAAGGCAAGGTTCGCACAACCAAGATGACTCAGATTTCAAGAGAAAATTTTGAAGAGTCCACTGGATCAGTTCTTTAAAGTGCCTGGGAAATGAAAAAAACTGTTTATTAAGAAATCATTAGCCAGGTATGATGGTGCACACGCGTAATCTCAGCACTTGGGAAACTGAGGCAGGAGGAGCACCTGAAGTTCAAGACCAGCTTAGGCTGCATACTGTATTCAAGTCCAGCCTGGACTACTTAGTGAGACTCTGACTCAACCATCCTCCCCTCAAAAAAGAGAGATCATTAACGACCCTTTTTTCTTCTTCTTTTGGTGTGTGTGTGTGTGTGTGTGTGTGTGTGTGTAGTTCAAGCTCACTATGTAGTTCAAGCTAGTCTTGAACTCACTATGTAGCCCAGGCTGGCCTCAAACTCATGGTCTCACTATGTAATTCAGGCTTGTCTTGAACTCACTATGTAGCTCAGGCTGGCCTCGAACTCATGGCAGTCCTCCTGCCTCACCCTCCCAAGTGCTAGTATTACAGGCATGTGCCACCTTGCTTGGCTTCATTAGTGACCTTTTAAAAAGCAAGGTTTTGGGGGGGGGGTTTTTTCGGGGGGGTTGTACCAGGGATCAAACTCAGAACCTTGCGCTTGCGAGGCATGTGTTGGCACCACTGAGCTAAATCCCTAGCCCTAAAAAGCAGTTTTAATAGAGTGGTGAGGTACTGATATATGGACTATTAGAGTCCTGACCTGGTTTGACTTCAAAAGGGAATGAAAATAGGACACGTGAAGAATTTCATAAAGCAAATTGACAGGCTTTATAAAGCACAAACCATTCTACACTTTTTTTTATCCATTCTGCACTCTTTAAACATTAACTGATTTAATTTTCTGTAACAACTATGAAGTGATTTGCTTTTGGTAGATAGGAAAACTGAGGAAGAATAGTTAAGCTAGTAAGTGGTTGAGCAGGATTTCAGCCTTAGGAAATATGGCACTAGAGTCCATATTTTACCTACTCTATCATGCAATAACAATATAGGAGTCAAAGTAGTAGGAAAATTTTAAGAAAAAATAGGCATATTGATTGAAAAAAATGGAAAAGCCTTGGAAAGAGACCCAGGTTGAGAGAATGGTAAGTAATGAATTTGTGCTTGTGTTGTTTTTTATTTCTTCCTGTCTTAGATCTTCTTCCACTCTATGCCAACTTAGATTTGTCTCTTCCACTCTCATGCTTTCACTTGTCACCTACCAGTTATAATCAGGTGTCCCTTACAGCTTCAGTCCCAAATCCAACCAGTTGGTAGAGTCCACTGGATCACTTCATTCTTAATGTCATCTTAATATTTATCTTGGTGTCATGTAGACTCTTCTAACTCAGTATTTTTACTTACCCTTACAGATTTACTTACCCTTACACAATCTAGTGAAGCCACAAGGAACAGACCAGCAAAACAATGATAAAAAACTAAGGTCAATAGTTAGGTAGCTTGTCCACTTTTTAACAATTTAAGAAGAATGAACTATGACTGGGGATGTAGCTCAGTCGTACTATGTTGTTATACGGTCATTTTGTGTAAACAAAGAACATAAACAGAGAAAGCAACCTTAAATGAGAATATTCCTGTTACACTGATGTTTGAGAAATGGTCCTTGGAGGTACTTAGATTTAATATCTATAACCTAGGCCGGTGGTGGTGAATCTATAGCACCCATGCCACAGTGAGCTTTTTATATCATTGAAAGCTCTAAAAGGTTTGCCATCACTGACCTAGGCCGTAGATGATAAGGACCTGAACCATGGCAATGATGGTAAGAATGGAGAGAGAATTTGTAATACTTCTGCAGAAAACCTTACAGAATATGGTGAATAAGACTCTATTCTACCTGATCAGTTCTTTACTTTCTTTCAGTTATAGGAACAGTGCTATATATTAGAATTACATGGTGATTTTTATGAATATTATTAATAAGTATTGAAGTTATCTACACTTAGGGATTCTGAAATCAGATATATTCATGTTTATCCTGTTTTTTGTTTTTTGGGGTCTTTTTCCTGGTATTGGGACTCAAATTCAGGACCTTGTGCTTGCCTGGCAAGTGCAGCACCGCTGAGCTAAATCCCCCAGCCCTATCCTGTTTTATTTGCAGATAGTATTAAATTTCTATCTACATGAGTAAATACATAAGAGATGGAAAACTAACAGATAAGAAAGGAAGGATAAGGGCATAAAATACAATAAAAATATGTTTAATATATAACATAGATTACCATTAAAATCTCTACATGATACAAATTTGGCTGTAAGTTGCACTTTTTGTTTTTAAGCATAAACTTTTTATGTAACTAAACATAATAGTATACAAATCCTAAGTATACAGCTCAATAAATTTCCGTGGCCTACCTTTGTGATACTCAATATAAGGATGGGAATCTGAACAGTTACATAGTTAAATATCATCCTTAAGATAAAACTGTAGTGGGCATGGTGGTGCATACCTGTAATCCCAACTATTCAGGAGGCTGTGCAGGAGAGGATTCCAAGTTCAAGCCAAACTGGGTAACTTAACAAGACCCTATCTGAAAATTAAAAACAAAACAAAACAAAACTTTTTTAAAGGGCTGAGGGGTATGGCTCAGTAGTAGAGCACTTGCCTAGCACACATGAGGCCCTAGGTTTGATCTCCAGTACCACACACATACACCAAAAAAACCTAGCCTAGTTGTCTCACACATAGATTTCTGGAATCATGCAGCATGGGCATGAGTTCTAGGTGTAACACTTAACACTGTCAACTTCTATTACTTTCAGCAAGTTATTAGGGATAATACCTACCTATAAAGATTTTCAAGATTAAATGGGTCAATTTAAATGAAGCATTTAGCACTGTACTTAGAATGTAACAAGGACTCAACCAGGGGATCTAACTCAGGACCTTGCACTTGCCAGGCAGGCACGGCACCACTAAGCTACATCTCCGGCCCCCATGTTATCTACTTTTCAGATTTTTTTTAAAAGTATTTAAAATTTGATTTTATATAGTCACAGTTATTTTGGAAGTGAACCCTAGAAACAAGTTTTTCGCAGGGTACACAAATATCCTGATGTTAAAGAACATGCTTATCATACCTCAATAATAATTTCATAGGAAACATTAAGAATTAATTATGTGGTTGGGTTTTGATTAAGGAGCTATGTAAAGTGTACCAAACAGTTTGTCCTTGCCCTCAAGACAAACTTAATGACAAGAAACAAGGGATAAATTGTGGCCTGGAAATAGGAGTTGTCCATTGTCTCAAAGGGAGACAATAGAGTAGACTGACACATATTAGGAAAAACTTCCTAACATAAACAGATTATTCTCATATTCTTGGACTTCAGCAGACAGATCAAAGTAAGCACTTTCCTGAAGTACCTGTTTGGCTGTTCTTGTTGGTAAGTTTTTTTTGAGATCTGGTGAATAAGAAGCAAATGAACCCATATTCTTGCTCATCTTTAGTGTTACAAGGAACAACTGTCCCTCACATTAGTTGTATAAACCATTGTGAGTACTGTCATACTATAGGTGGAAACAATGTTTATATACAAGTGCAAGTAGGGAAAATACTAATCTGAGAGTCTCATGGTCAGTGATAATATATTTAAGACCAACAGAACTCTTTGTTTGTTTGTTGTGTTTGTTTTTGGTTTTTTAAGACAAGATCTCACTATGTAGTTCAGATTGGCCTTAAACTCTATGTAGCCTAGGCTTGCCTTGAGGTTGCAGCAATTCTTCTACCTCAGCCTACCGAGTGGTGGGATTATAGGCATGCACCAGCATGCCTGGCCCCAACAGAACTCTTAATAAAGAATCCCACTTTTGTTTGGTCAGCTGAAACAACAATCATTTCTAAAACTTCTGATTATAAATTAGAATGTTTATTCTAGAATGAATAAGCCACCACAATTTCTAAAATTGACCAGTGGGTGATAATATAATTTTGCTGCTTTAAATTACTGATAGTCTCTATATTTTCTAGATTTTTTTCTTTATATTTCATACTCTTCTCTGATGTTTGCTTTACTGCATCCTTCAGTGCACTTTTAAATATTCTGCATATATTGAGAATGTCATTTAGGGAAAAGCTTCTCCTTTGTGTTTATTGTTGTTAATATACCTATGCCATACTATTCCCCTCTCACTGACATTCTGCTGAATTCCCTAGTTTAGAATCTTGATACAGTTCATTTTTTTTCACTCTCTGTATCTAGTCATTTACCAAGTTCTTATAAATAATTTTAGTTATTTTTTCTTGCTGCTTCTATTTTCATTCTTTCCTCAGCCCTCTGGCCCCAGACCTGTAATGCATCTGCAGTGATTGTGCTAGTCTTCTTAACAATTCTTTCTTATTACTGTCAAACTAATCCTATAGGTTCGGTAAATCCAAACAAAGCACCTCCGTGCTTTGTACAAGGTCAGGTGATGCCAACACTTACCAGTTTGAATAGAAAAGGATTTCCTCAGTAATGGGACGAGCAATGTGGTTGCATTAAGTAGAATTTGAAGCAAAAAGAAAGACTTTTCCCCTAGAAGATGTTGGTTCCTAGCATAAGCCCCAATAAACAGGATGGAGATATTCAATATGCCATGTTTATTTGTTCTAATGCTATGAAACTTAGAGTTGGGAGGGAAGAAAGTATTTAATGAAGTGTTTGAGTGTTATAATAGAGATACTATTCTGTCTAGAGAACTCTTCTGCTATTCTATCTAGAGAACTCTACTCTAGGGGGTCAGGGAAGGGCCTCTCAAGAGGAAATAAAGGAGTCAGTATTGGCTAGAAGGTCGTGTTCTAGACTAAGGAAACAAGCATGAATAAGGCCTGGATTCAATAGAATGACATTATGTAATAGGCATTGAGAAATAGTACAAAGCCTGGATTCTTTCATCGAGAGCTGATATTCTATGAGCCTCTGTAAGGCAGTGTTACAGAAGTTAGAATTTAAAAAATTGAGCTTCAGGTTCTAGAAGCTGGTTGTCTCATCTGACTCTGAACTAAGGGACAGATACACAAAATTCAAGGTGAATGAACTAATGCACTGAGATTGTTGAACTATTATTTCTCACAGGAAGACCTGTCAGGGCCGGGGATTTAGCTCAGTGGTTCTGCTGCCTCCTTCATAAGTGCAAGGTCCTGAGTTCGATCCCCAGTACCAAAAAAAAAAGAAAGAAAGAAAGACCTGACATACCTACAGCTCTCATAGAAGATTGGTATGTAAGAAAAGAATGCCAAATGAGACATGGATACACTTGTAATCACAGAACTTAGAAGGCTGAGGCAGGAGGATTGCAAGTTCAGGGAGGATTGTAAGCCTGAGCTACATAATAAGCATAATAAGACCCTGTCTCAAAATAACCAAAACAAAAAAATAATAGAATGCCAATTTATTATCTTCATAATGGAACCAACAGTTTAGCATGGCTAATTCATCTTTCCCCTTTAGAAAGACATATGGGAAGCCAAGTCTGGAGACTATGGAATCTGGACATGAAGGTTTCTCAAAAAAAAAAAAAAAAAGTGCTATGTAAACAGTTTTGCTATATATGCAGGAGTTTTGTTTGTTTAATGGTGCTGAAGATTGACCACAGTGCCACCGTTGTGCTAGACAAGTGCTTTACCACTGAACCCCCAGCTCTATGTAGAGTTTTGGCAAAGGTGCCTTCTCCATAGTTAAAGGAGTTATGCCAATGTTTACCTTAATTTTTTTTTTTTTTTGTATCAGGGATCAAACTCAGGACCTTGCACTTGTGAGGCAGGCGCTGCACCACTGAGCTAAATCCCTGGCCTTTTTCTTTTTTAATTTTATTGGTGCATATTAGGTATACATAATAATAACATTCATCATAGGGAATTTATACCTGTACATGATATATCTTGCTGCTTTTTTTTTTCCCATTCCCCTCCACTCCCTTCAATCCCTCTTCCCCTCCAGTACATCAGTTTTTGACAGATGATATGGTAGTGTGTGAGTTAAGTTAGCAGGAATAGAAGCTAGAAGTCAAGGGAAACATTTATGAATCAGTTCTAGTATTTCACATGATATGTAATAACAGATGAATAGGGATAAAGAGGAAAGAATAGCATCTACTAGAGATTGATCTACCTGCTACTCCTACTCAGAATTCTACCATGTGGCTCATATGGTTATTCTTTATCAAGTTTTGTTGGTTGGTTGGTATATGTGGATTTTTTTTTTTGGTATGTGAAGATTGAACTCATGGCCTTTACACTGACTGTGTCCCCAGTCTTTTTTAATTTTATGATAGGGTCTCACTAAGTCATTAAATTGCCCAGGCTAAGGTCAGACTTGTGATCCTCCTCCCTCAGTACTCCAGAGTGCTGGGGTTATAGGTGTGCATTTACCGCGTGTGAATTCTTTATTTTCTATATCAAGAAATGTTCCTTAAAAGAGAATTCAGATTTGTCTACAATGTACAGGATAAAGAATTATACCTTTGACAGTGATTTAATATTGGCCCTTTCAGTTTGTGGCTTTTATTTTATCACATAAAGACATACATAAATATATTCCCATCAGTTAAAACAGAAAAGGGTTTCCCCGAGAATGAACATGGCAAGCAATGTCGATGCAATTGTTTAAAGTACAAAGAAAAAGAAAAAAGAGTATTTTGTTTTAGAAGAAGCATGGAGAAGAAAATAATGACTTCATCTTTGCTTGTGTTGGGATGTTTTAGTTTGTTTTTGAAACTACATAGAATTCTCATGTGGGTGACTAACTTCAACACTATTCTTGTATTCAATATCTTAAAAAGTTGAGTGAATGCCCAGCTCTTACACTTCACACATGTCTGCTGTTTAGGTGCAGTTGACATTTGATAGTGGTAAGGAGTAATTTTTAACAGCCTTTGAAAGCTGTTGTAGTAACTTCTTTCAAGGACAATTTCATTCAGGTAAATAAAAAACATATGACAACAAATTTGATTTTTTGGAAGGTAAATCCAGATTTCTTAATTGTTCCAATTTCCTTAAATTCAACCTTTTTACATTTTTGTTCTTTAGGTCTGCCAAAATGTCTGAAAGATCAGATCTCCTTCACTTCAAGTTTGAAAATTATGGAGATTCAATGTTACAAAAAATGAACAAATTAAGAGAAGAGAATAAATTTTGTGATGTTACAGTTCTCATAGATGATATTGAGGTACAGGGGCATAAAATTGTGTTTGCTGCAGGTTCCCCCTTCTTAAGAGACCAGTTTTTACTGAATGATTCCAGAGAGGTGAAAATCTCCATACTCCAGAGTTCTGAAGTCGGGAAACAATTGCTCTTATCCTGTTATAGTGGTGTTCTGGAATTCCCTGAGATGGAACTGGTAAACTACTTGACTGCTGCAAGTTTTCTTCAGATGAGCCACATTGTAGAACGGTGCACGCAGGCCCTGTGGAAGTTTATAAAGCCAAAACAGCCAATGGATAGTAAAGAGGGATGTGAACCGCAGAGTGCTTCTCCCCAGTCAAAAGAGCACCAGGGAGATGCCAGAGGCTCCCCAAAGCAGGACTCACCTTGTATTCATCCATCTGAAGACAGCATGGATATGGAGGACAGTGATATTCAGATCGTCAAGGTAGAATCTATAGGGGATGTATCAGAGGTTAGAAGTAAAAAAGATCAGAACCAGTTTATTTCTTCTGAACCCACTGCCTTACATTCATCAGAGCCACAGCACTCCCTGATAAATTCAACTGTGGAAAACAGAGTAAGCGAAATAGAGCAAACCCACCTCCACAATTACGCTCTCTCTTATACAGGCAATGATAACATCATCATGACCTCAAAAGATGTCTTTGGCCCTAATATTCGAGGTGTAGACAAAGGCCTTCAGTGGCATCACCAATGCCCAAAGTGTACCAGGGTGTTCCGTCACCTGGAGAACTATGCCAACCATTTAAAAATGCACAAACTCTTTATGTGTCTACTCTGCGGCAAGACTTTTACTCAGAAAGGCAACCTTCATCGACACATGCGTGTGCATGCCGGAATTAAACCTTTCCAGTGTAAAATCTGTGGGAAAACCTTTTCTCAGAAGTGTTCCTTACAGGATCATCTTAACCTTCACAGTGGAGATAAGCCCCATAAATGTAACTATTGTGACATGGTGTTTGCACATAAGCCAGTTTTGAGGAAACACCTTAAACAGCTGCATGGCAAAAACAGCTTTGATAATGCCAATGAGAGAAATGTGCAAGATCTCACAGTGGATTATGATTCTTTTGCATGTACAACAGTCACAGACTCTAAAGGGTGTCAACCACAGCCTGATGGAACACAGGTCCTGGATGCAGGTAAACTGGCCCAAGCTGTCCTCAATTTAAGGAGTGATAGTACTTGTGTGAATTGAGTAGAGGCTTGATCACAACTAGAAGTGACTGACAATGTGGCAATAGTCTGAGTCTTTTTAGGAGTGATTTTACTAGTTTTATTTCTCCAAAACCTCCATGTAGGTGGTAAGGGGTAAGTTAAAGCACTAACAGACCAGGCACCTTCCCACTTGGAGTGGTTTTGCCTTTTGCCCTCTCCCACAAATAACTCTGTTTTGAGTTATTTATCCTGTGATATCTGTTTCCTTCCCCAAGGAATAATTCCATTTGTCTACCTAATGTTGACTTATGTCTTAGACTGACACTAGTTTAGGCTTTTACCAGGCACATTCTAAAGGTACCAAAAAATTAATAACATTACCTACTCTCTACTAATAGATGCTATGCTAAGAGAAGTGAATAATAATTTTCTTTGGCAAAAAAAAAAAAAAAGGCTAGGATATAAGGTGATACTGCTGTTGACCTAAATATGTGATAAAACCCTCTGGTTGCCTATTGATGATTCATCCATGTCTGATAAATGAATGAATCTGCTTCTTACCATTTGTACTTGTCTTGGAGCTGGCTCTAAAGAAGTATGTTGGTTTATTCTGTATCCTTTTCAACACTATCATAGCTCAACTTCATCTCACTGAATTGTTCATATAGAACAGAGTACAGTCTTCAGAAATACTTGCAGACAAATAGAGATCACCAAGAGAAGCATAACTAACAAAGGACAGAAGTTCAATTATAAAACAGCACTTAAGTGAGAAGTTTTCCAGGTAGCACATCCCAGTAGGAGACCAGATGCTTAATGTATAACATACTTACTGATGCTTTTGAAATCAGGATTGCTTCCAGCATACTTTTTCCCCCCTGCATACTTTTTAGTGCTAAAGAATAATGATCTCTCTAAAAAAGAGCTATTTGAGAATTTCTGAACTTTGTATCAGAGTTTAATCATGAGAAAGGTGAGTTTAGCCATCAAATTTTGTCCAGTGTAAGTGTCTATGGCTTTGTCTTTCCTTGTGAACCTTAATTTCTAAAATAGATGAAAAAAGTGAAATGGGACACACAAGAGCAACCAGATTTTTTTTTTCTGCATTCAGATGTTTCCCTTAAAAGTACACTGCCCCACTTTGCCACCTTAGACACTGATGATAATAATACAAAATTGGCCTTTCAGTATTGAAGAACAAAACAATTATTTTTCCTTAAGCACATTTCAGAGATAAATTTTTGAGTGTTATTTGGTTCTAACCCCTGAGTTAGACTTAGGCAATAGGAATGTTAAGAGTACAGTACTGAGAGTATCTTAAGAGACTATTTACTCCTTCATTTAGGTTGGAACATCCAAAGCCCAAAGAAGTGGCCTGGCCACGGTTGGCTAAAGTAAATAAGTGACTATGAACTAATGTCTCTTTATTTCTTCCCACTGTACTTTGGCTTAAAAATTTACATGATGAACAACAGTGCATTAGGAAAACATCACCAGTTGTGTGTTTCATTTTTGTGTTTCCCTTTTGACTTTCTGAGACAACCTGGATTTTGTCAGCAAAATATCACAAAAGGACTTACTTATATTAATTATTATTTTTAAAATTTTGTTTTATTTTTACTGAACCCAGGGCCTCATGTTTGCTAGGCATATACTCTTCCACTGCCTGGTATCCCCAGTCCCTGTCAGTTATTTTTTAGATAAATATTACATTCTTCTCAAACAAGTACTTCATTTTTTGACTGTTAGGGAAGGAAAGGGCAAGTAATAATGTGAAAAGGTTCCAAATGTGAAACTTATTTTGTCTGGAAAAGTGTTTCATTTCCATCCAGGTTTTTGCTTTTATTTTTGACCTAGGAGAGTACATGCACAAATAATGCAGAAGTTAGGCTTTATTTATATAGTCAGAGTTAACTATAATTTGATATATTTCCAAATGAGTGTGATTTGAGGTATAATTTATCTTCTGTTCAAATATTTAATATGAGAACAGAGTAGTGATAAGACCTATAGGTACCTTATGCCAACATCAATCATTATATTGTCAAATGATGCTTCCTAGCATTGTAATTTTTATATGATCCAGCCAAAGAGTACCGATTCTATGCAACAGTGAGGCTACTGTGCCAACCAGTATTTTTTGTATTTTCTCTGAACATCATTTCTTGGCAGAAAAATTTCAGATTTGGGTACTTTGCTCACATTCATGTTTTGTTTTTGTTACTGATTTAAAGACTGAAGCACATGGTCTCTTTGGTTGGAAACTATTTCTAGGTTTATTTCAGTCATTCAAGAAACTTTTTTCTTTTTAATGCTGTGAATTGAACCTAGGGCCTGTGCATGCCAAGCATGTACTCTGCCACTGAACTCAAAAAACATTTACTAAGCACCTCTTTTGTCAGGCACTATGCTAAATACTGAGGATATGAAGGTAAGATTGATATAGTCCCTTCAGAGCTTAAGGTCTCAATTTGATTTTATACTAGGAGTAATAAAACTGCCTTTTTTTCTTTGATCACTTTCAGTCAGCATTTTTATGATTCTTTATTAGTAAACTTTTAGTTCTTACTTTCTGCAAATACAAAACACCAAAGTAAACTGCGGGCTCCTCCATTTCTTGGTTGGACAGGTGTTTTGTTTCTGTGAGATATTTTCTAATTTCGGTGGGACTTGTCTTTTTTCTTTCATTTATACATGTTTCTTAGATTATATTGCAAAGAGGTCAAACTTGATATCAAGTACATTTTATAGAAGAACATGATTTTCAAAGCTAGGAGGAAGAGTATTAAAACTTTAGTCATTCATCATTTGTATTTTATGGATCCCAGATAATTGAAAAGAGGACTCTCTTTATAATAGTTTGCTTTTTAAAAACTTACTTTGTCACAGTTATTTATTATTTAATTTATAGAAAAACTCCAAACTGAAGTGGCTCTGATGTAAATCGGATGTGGTTTTGTTTTAGATTCTTTACTGGAAGATCTATAAATGGACACTGGTCACTGCTTCTAAAATAGTAAACAACTCAGAACATTTGATTTCAGCTCCTGAATAGCTGTTCTAAACCTGTTGTATGTTAGACATACTGTGAACTACCTCTTCACTTACTATGGGGAAGTTTCCTTAATAAAAGTGTGACAATTAAAACTGGTGTCAGTAGTTTATTTTTTAATCCTCTTCTTTTTCAGCTGCTTGAACTTGAATCCAGGGATGCTTCTATTTTTTTTTTTTTTTTTTTTTTGAGGTACTGGGGATCAAACTCGGGTGCTTACGCTTGCGCAGCAGGCGGTGAAACCACTGAGCTAAATCCCCGGCCCAATTCTTTAAAATATATTTTAATTAAGCCTGCTGACTTTGCCTTCAGAAGCAAGTATGGGCCAATAAGAAATTAGTTATCACTGGAGGCAGTTATTTCCATGAGAATCTGATGATTGAGGAGACAAAAGCAACAGTTCGCAAGAACTGGTTCAGACATCCCTTCGTTACACAAATACTTCATGCCTGTTAAGTACTGGACTTCTGGAATGCAGAGATCAGTCAGCATTGTCCCTAAATGCCTTGGCCTCATTGGGACACAATTTCGATGTAGGTCTGATAAGCGCAGTATTAAAAGCAGGCGAAGGAATAACAGGTTCCAAACTGGAAATCAGTTAATTTAAGGGGAGATCAGGATGGCTTGAGGGATGGTGTGATTTATGAACAGGTTTGAATAAGTGAGAGGCAGTGCTTTGCATGTGCAAGGTCTTGGGTCCAATCCCAGCACCAAAGAAGGGGGGGCACTACTTTCGCTGAGGATGTACCTCGGTGGCAGGTCTGCCTAGCACGCTCTGGTTTGACGCAGCACCCATAGATCACTACTTCGGCAATCCAGAATATAGAGCCCTAGTTTTTCCTGCCATTTTCCAAGTTGTAGTTGGTCTCAATAAAATCCTGCCCCGTAATAACCTATAAGAACCCTCCGGTAGTTCAGACGTTGGAATCTGACATGCTCACTAACCAACTTCACAGTCCGTGTCTCCAATTTGGGTGTTCGGAAAGAGAATGGCTTGCTTGCCGAAACTGGGACCAAATAAACCGGACTTGCCATATTCGGGCGCCTTTCTGTTATTCTAGGAATGCAGGAAATGAGAAAGAAAAAGCGTTCCAGGATGTCCTTCCGGGGCGCCCAGGTGGCCTCAGTAAAGGATAAAACTGGTTGACACCGGATGTGTTTCATCCAGGCTAAGTCCATCTTCCATCCTGGGCCCCGCTGCTGCGGAAGCCTCAACCCCACTTTTGTGAGTCGGTAAGTGAACCCGAAGGGCGTTCCCCAGGTGGCAACGCCTGCTGAAGGAAAGGGGGAGGAGGTCAGCTGGGCTTGGCCTCTGAGTGGCTAATCTGTTGCCGCAGTCCCTTGGCTGATAGTGCTTTGGCCCAGGAAGAACTATGTGCCGAACTGGAGGGATTTTCCAGGCCACCTGGAATCCGGTTTTAGTTCAACAGATGTTCCCTGGGCTCTTGCTAATGTGTGGGCCCAAGCGCTTTGTGGAGAAACACACATGAATCAGCCACCAGCTCCCGGGGCTCTGGGAGCTACTGACTATAGGGGGAGGAGTTACATTAGTCCTCCTTGGTTTGGGCTTAAAGGAGCCAAACCAGTTGCTGGGAAAAAACTGGATACCAAATGTAATAACGGTGTAAAGGTACATACGGATGTTTTTGTTAGGACAAGGATGAAAAACTTAGTGTCTAAGCTTGAGTATGAAAAATAGAGGGAGATAAAGCTATAAAAATGGGTTCTGTCCAAAGTGTGAAATATCTTATTATTCTTTTTAAGAATGAAAAGGCTGTCTGGGACGTGGAGGAGGCAAGCCATTGAGGATATAAAGCAGAAGAGAGAAAAAAATATTAGTTCTTTTGAAATTCGGGAAAGTTGGAAATACAGGAGAGTGTTAGGTCAAGGAGACCTGTTGAAGGAAGACATTGCAACGGTCCATGTGAAGAAGACTGAGACTCTGTAATAGTGGTAGGGAATAGAACTTTAGGACACTCACTAAGGTTTCTAATTTGGGATACTATGTTAATAACAGTTTTGGTGATTGCTCTGGGTTTTTTTTTTTTTTGTTACTGGGTATCAAACTCAGGACCTTGTGCTTACAAGGCAGGCATGGTGCCACTGCACTAAATCCCTGGCCCAAATTTACCTGTTCTTGACTGCAAGGCACATACAATTCAGCCAAGGAGGCAAGCATAGAAACTGTTACCTTTAATTAAATGTGGTAGGTGCTGTAACAGAAATATGAAAAATATATATGACATGATGGTTTAGGGCTTCACTCTTAGTACCCAGAGTACAATTTAGGTCTTCTTTTTCCCAATTCACGTTTGGAGTGGGAGGGTTGTTTTTATTGTCACAGCATGGGAAAACATTCCATATATCCTTACATCAATGTTTGTGTTTTATTTTGCTTAGATTGTAACAATGGCTGCTGAGTCTGATGTTCTGCACTTCCAGTTTGAACAGCAAGGAGACGTGGTCTTGCAGAAAATGAATCTCTTGAGACAGCAGAATTTATTTTGTGATGTATCAATTTACATTAATGACACTGAGTTCCAGGGCCACAAGGTGATATTGGCTGCTTGCTCTACTTTCATGAGAGATCAGTTTTTACTCACACAGTCAAAACATGTCAGAATCACCATCCTGCAGAGTGCAGAAGTTGGCAGGAAATTGTTACTCTCTTGTTATACTGGAGCATTAGAAGTTAAAAGGAAAGAGCTTTTGAAATATTTAACTGCTGCCAGTTACCTTCAGATGGTTCACATTGTGGAAAAGTGCACAGAAGCTTTGTCAAAATATCTGGAAATTGATCTTTCTATGAAAAATAACAACCAACATACTGACCTGTGTCAATCTTCTGATCCAGATCATAAAAATGAAGAAGAAAATTCTGAGAAAGACTGCGAGATAATTGAAATTTCAGAAGATAGTCCAGTAAACATAGATTTCCATGTTAAAGAAGAAGAAAACAATGTATTGCAGTCTGCAGTAGAGAGCTTGACATCAGAAAGAAAGGAAATGAAGTCACCAGAGCTGTCTACAGTTGATACAGGTTTTAAAGACAATGAAATTTGTATTCTCCATGTGGAATCTATCAGTACAGCTGGTGTAGAAAATGGGCAGTTTTCACAGCCTTGTACCTCATCAAAAGCAAGCATGTATCTCTCAGAAACACAGCATTCACTGATTAATTCTACAGTCGAAAGCAGAGTGGCAGAAGTTCCTGGAAATCAAGGCCAGGGCTTATTTTGTGAGAATACTGATGGAAGTCACGGTACAGTGAACGAGATTCAGAATGTGGAAGAGAATTATTCACTGAGGCACCAGTGCCCCAGGTGTCCTCGAGGGTTTCTTCATGTTGAAAACTATCTGCGCCACCTTAAGATGCATAAACTATTCTTGTGCTTACAGTGCGGAAAAACATTCACACAGAAGAAAAATCTCAACCGGCACATCCGAGGGCACATGGGCATACGGCCTTTTCAATGTACTGTGTGCTTAAAGACCTTCACCGCCAAAAGCACACTTCAGGACCACTTGAACATACATAGTGGGGATCGGCCATACAAATGCCACTGTTGTGATATGGATTTCAAGCACAAATCTGCCCTCAAAAAGCACTTAACTTCTGTTCATGGCAGGAGTAGTGGTGAAAAACTACCTAGGCCTGATCTGAAAAGGCAAAATCTTTTATAAATTGGAATCATGGACTTACTATGTAAATCTTGTATCATTCTATTAGGCAAGTCTGTGTAGAAATGCAGCATTTGTAATCCTATATTCCCTCCCCTAAATCTAATTTTATTATTTGCTCTGACTACACATTTTTTTTCTGAATTAAATTGTGAGAGGCCTGGTAAAGCTGATGGGATGAATTATATACTGTATAAATTCTAAAGGAATATATGCCTGGAGAAATAGTGTTCTTTTAAATATTCTCAATTCTAATTGACTGAGTACCTAGCAGTATTTGCAATTCTGATGTGTATTCACTAGGTAATTGATTTAAATATTAAATCCAATCATATAATAACTTTAATGAATTAGGGTGCCAAAAAATATTATTTTTGTTTTTTTGAGACAGGGCCTCACTGTGTAGCCCAAGCTGGCCTCAAACAGGAAATGATCCTCCTGTCTCAGCCTTCTAAGTGCTGGGATTACAGGCGTGTACCACCATGCCCAGTGACAAAAAATAAATTTTAAAACACTATTATCCATTATTGGTCACTTTCAGAACAGAGAGTATTAGCAAATTGTTTTTCTTTTAACTTTTAGCCAATGTTCTTAAGTTCTAAACTAAGGTGTTTACAGTTTAGAACCAAGGAAGGTACTTTTAATTTTAAACTGTAAAGGAACATAATTCAGATTCACTTGGTGATAGCAGAATTTCCTTATAATGTGTTAATATTTTTTAAAATACTTTCATCGCTATTTGTTATCATTATATAAACTTTAGAATAATTAGGTCCATGTTTCTTGATTATATTTAATAAAATTGTTTTAATAATTTTGTGGCCAGTAAAATAATACTATTGGCATGAAGCTGTGAGAAATTACTTTTCTAGAAATTCCAACTTTATCAAAGATATTTGTTCTACTGTGTCCTTCCTAAAGTTCTTTATTTTTTCATTAATGTAGTAAAGTTGACCTTTTTGATATATACTTCTATGGATTTTAACACATGTACATATTTGTGTACCACCCTGCAACTGGGATACAGAACAGTTCCATCACCCTTAAAAACTCCCTCATGCTGTTCCTTGTTACTTAATTCCTCCTAGCTCTAAACCCTACAAATAATTCTTCATTACTATAATTTTTCCTTTTCTAGAATGTCATATAAATGAAATTTATTTTTACCCAAGCTAACACTTTTGGAGTCATTCATATGTGTATCAATAGCTCATTCTCCTTTTATTTTCACTTGCCAATATGTATTCTGTCACTGATGAACAGTTTAAATGTGCTTAGCTACTAGTATTAGCTATTAATTATAATTTTTAATTTACATTAATGCAGTCCACATTCACTATGTTAACAAAAAATCTTAACCATCCCTAGAATTTTATTTGATATGTCAGTAAAGTGCCAAAAGCAACACTATAATTCTGATTATTTTAGTAATATTTCAGATTATGTTCTGAGCCCTAGCTTCTTGATATCCTTGTCTTCATATAATACAAATACAAAAAGATCAAAATATATTCCAAGGCAAATCACCTCTAAAACACAGGAACTACTACTTTGAGTAAAGAAGCCTGACTGGATGCATCTTACTTTCAAGTTAAAACTTTATTCTTTCTCTACGTACCTTGCCTTTATGTAGAATTTCTACCATATTTAACTTCTACAGATGCCCTTTTGTATTTTAAAACATAATATACTTCGTATCATTTATAAGAATTTTGTCAAGAATCCCATGTTGTTATAAACATTACTGTTTTTATGATACTTTTGTGGAAAAGATGTTCTGCGTTGAATTTTAAATCTGGGAGAGATTTTTTAAAATTCAGGTCTCATATGTGATGAGAAAACTGACTTCTTAACTTCCAGGTCACTAATTACTGACATTGTGCAGGTCCTTGAACTTTTCTTAATTTTAATTTTAATCTCATTCATTTTTAAGATCCTTCTCATGTCTAAAATTCTATTTCATATTTAATTTTTCCTGGGGACAAAAAGGTGAAAGCAAAAGAGTTGTGTCTTTGTGGATATTACTTTTTGGGGGGGGGGGGTTGGTCCCGGGGATCGAACTCAGGACGTTGTGCTTGCGAGGCAGGCAGTGGCACCAGTGAGCCAAATCCCCGGCCCTGGATGTTACTATTTGAGAACTCCATCAGAGACAAAAAAACTTTTCTAAATAGTGTTTTTCTTTAACTCAGTAATCGTTTAGAGCTTGATTTCCTTTCCCCCTTGACTCGAGAGTGGCCATTTATAGTTGTGAAAATATTTCCCTTTCAGAAAGTTAACTTGTGATTGAGGTACTTTTCTTATTTTTGCTTCCTAGGATGAAATACTGGAGGGGAGGGGTAGGGATGGGAGAAGAGGGTAAAATACAGTTTTTAAAATGATTTTTTAGGAATTGGTATGTATCTTGAATGCTTGATAAAAAATTTTAGTTGGAACAATGTTTATGTGTGCCTTGTCAGATTGTTGTAAGATTTTTTTGTGAGCACTTTGAGATTTTTGTGTGGGGGAAGGTGTTTTGTAAAAGTGATAGTTGTTATTTATATTATTTATTCCTGTTAATCTCAAAACATTCCTAGGAGAGTATCTGTTTGCATGATGTGTCTAAAATATTTCAGAAAAATGGAATCTTTGACATGCAGGCATGGTAAAGTAAATGTAAAATTTATTCATCTGAAGTACTTTAAGTTGTTTTTGTTTCAGGTATGACTGAAAAATGTAGTATCTTTTGAGTTCAACCCCTTCACTTACCACACTTACATATATAAAAGATTTTGAAAAGGTAGTTGTTAAAGAGAAAATCCTTGTCCTTTCTCCTTGGATGTAACTATCTTACATGTTTACATAAGAAATAATAAACTGGAGGTAAGACTAGGAAACGTTTGTGTTTTGTTGTATCTGTGAATTTTAAAGGACACAATTTTTCCTGGCTATTTAATTATTCAGTTCAGAAATACCTACTGAGTCTGTACTAGAAATTACGTAGACAAAAATCTCTGCCTTCATGAAATTTACATTTTAGTGGAGGGGAGACAAACAGTACACAAACAAGTAAAATTAATGTATGTCAGATTTGGAAACAGGTTTAGAGACAAATAATGCAAGAATAGTGCCACAAGGAGGTGGGTTTGTAATTTTAAACGTGGTTAGTCCACCTTTGAAAAATCTTATTCATATGTATATATATTATATTGTCTTTTGGAATGTAATTAGGTATAGTATGCCTAATGGGATATCAAAGTACACAAGTAGAATTATTTGGAAAACATCTATATATAAAATCACCCATCATTGTCCACCTGAAAATACAGAAATGAATCACTGATTGTTGGAATATTTTTTTAGAATGGCATATATTTCAAAAAGAAGAAAATGGCTATTGCATGGGGAAAAGAAAAATCTGATGGGGTAAATTAAATCCTTTTCCAAAAACACTAATTTTTCCTTATCACAGGGAGTAATAACCGAATATCTTAAAGCTCATTATATGTTACTTTTCCATATTTTAATTTATATTTTATTTATTTCTATAAATCTTTTTGTTATACATAAGTTTTGAGTTTATGTCATGGCTATTACACAAGTTTCTCATCAGTATATACATACTATGTCTTTTAGAATTATTTCAGTAAGTAAATGAAATATAAGTAAAACTAAAATGAATATTTTTAAAACATGTAACAGTCGTAAATGTTAAATCTCTAATTCCTATTCCCAGTCTTTTTTCATTTGTAAAAACAGAATAATTCCTAATTTAAAACTCGCTTTGAGTGCTCTCTTCAGCAGCACATATACTAAAATTTGCTTTGAAAAAATTCTTCAAGAAATACTTGAGGTATAATGTCAAGTTTTGTGATTAAATTTTGATCCTTACAGCTTTGGGAGAGCTTAGTGTTCTCAATAAAGAGATTAGGTAGTTGGAAGTGTCTGCCAAACAAACGCTTTCATTTTGGTGTTTTTCATGTTTGTTTTTCTAACCGAGAGATTACTTGATTTATGCAGAAGGACTGAGGGATCTGGCCAGCATTTTTTCAGAAGAGAGTGAAGTAAGATTAACATAGATCCATCAGATTCTGCGAAATGGATAACGTGCTTTTCATATTAAAAGTGTGACACTAGCTCAAACCAGTGTCTAGTAAGCCGGTTCTAGACGCAGATAAACGTGCAGGGAGTTTCCCATCAATCTCATCGACGTGACTAGTCCTCCTCACAACATCTCCCACAGTACTCCGGGACTCAGTCACATGACGGGAGGATTCGCTTGAGCATCTTAGGTGGTGTAGAAGAACTACGCTTCTTTTCCACTCCCCAACTCCCGGACATGCGTAATCTCGCGTGAAGCGGGCAGTATCTTCTCGCGAGAGCTAAATCGGGATCCTCCAGGTCCGCCTCCGTGGTGAGGAGGAGGAGGAAAAGGAGGAGGAGGCGGAGGGAGGAGAAGGAGGCCCCGTCGCGGCCTTTGCCGCCGCCAGCGGGGCTGTCCTTGTAGCTCCCGATGGAGTTTGAGGCCGTGAAACCGCCGCCGAGCTCTGCCGCGGCGAGACGAGGCGCCTCCATCGCCAAGCCGCGCCGTCGCGGGGCTCCCGGGAGCGGCCCTTAGAGACCCCGCCCGGGCCCCCTCAGGTAGGGCGGGGGCGGGCACGATGCAGCTCGGGCCCCAGCCCCGGTGCCCGGTCCCCAGTGGTCGGGCGGGAGACTCACCTCAGCCCGGGGGCCTGTCCACTGTCGCCGCCGGTGCCCCGAGGTTGGGAACTGAGGGCCGCACCTGACACTCGGACCGAACTCGGGGCCTGAAGAGGCCCCTCTCTCTGGTAGGGCTTATTCGTTGCGGAGCGACCAGCTCAAATGGCCACCTTCTTTTGGCCCTGCCCCAGGGGACGCCTCTGACCATTGAGGAACCCACCCAAGCAAAGGCCAAGCTTCCTTCTCCCTTTCCTCCTACTTACCAAGAGAGGCTTTCGAAGAGGTTCTCGAAATCAGGTCCTCTCCTAGCTTTTCCTCTTTCTGCTTGGGGCTTCCCGAGACTCTAACTCAGGGATGGTGGAGGCGATCCGAGTGGTGTAAATAGGGACCCTGGCCAAACAATGCCCTGGGAGGGCTTAACCTCCCAGGAGGAAGATGGCAGGACCACAGTGGTTACACCGGGTATGTGACTAGAAGCAATGGCATGAAACACAGCCGGGGAATCTGCTGTGCCTTTCTTCTTTCCTTCTTTCTTTTTGTTTTTACCCCCCTAGGGGAAGCCTCTTGAGGAGACTCTTCCACCATCTTAGAAGAATGGTAGAAAGCATCTTTGTTTTTCAGAGAAGCAGCTCTACTTTTCTCTGTCCTAGCTTTCGGGAAGGGAGATGAGGGTAGCTGTCATTTTCATCCATCAAATCACCAGAGTTTTAAGATACCGGCAGATAGAACCTTCACACCAAAATAGTCTCAAATAATCGTTGAAATAAAGAAAATCTTATGCAGTGATTCTCAACCTGTTTTGTGTTTTCATAAAGCCCACCTGGTTTCTCATTTTAATTCCTACTGCCCTCTTGCCTAGGTCATTTCTTTGCAGTTTTTATTCATCCTCCCCACCCACTGTAATTACAATGACTTTGTATCCTGAGATAAAGGAATCTTATTCCTATTTTTGTGTTAGTCACACTTTTAAGTTCCAGTAGGAACTTTTGATTAACCTGAGAAAGCTAACGTTGCTACACCACAGCGACACAATTTCACCAAAAGGAAAGAACAGATGTTTTAATCAGTGCAACCATTTTATGGTTAAATATATACAGACTTAGTTAAGACTTTTCAAATCATTAAGAATAGTTCATAAATTGACCTTATAAAAAAACTTTCTCTTATCTGGTTAAAAAACTAAACCACTGTTCTAACCTTAGATCCCTAACTTGTTGTTTATTGTTTACATCCACATTCCAATTCTTGAAGAGATAAGAGGCCATCACATTCTGTAAAGACTTTTTTTTCAATATTGCCATTTTTGTTGATTTAGAGATTTATGTTTTCCAAACAGATGGTATAATTCAAACAGGTTTTTATTCTTTGAGGATCTCACTGCAGATGTATTCATTACTGGATCCTTTGAGTTACTCCTGATCTGTTGTTACGGTTGTGTTAACCTGACATGTAAGAAGACTTGATGTCGTTTGTTCATGTATTTTTATTAATTCATTTTCTGCTTTTGTAATTTGCTGTCTTCCAGTTGGAAAGGCGTTTTTCTTTACACACAGGATTTTATATTCAAAAATAGAACTTCTGAAGTGTATGTGATAGCTAAGAATGCTAAATAACTCATAACACGGTTGTAATAAGTACTTGCCTATCATTTTGGTTGGACTGGTGACTGAAATTTCACTTCCTGATGATGGAAAAAGGAAGCATGTGGGATAAAGCTATTGAAAATTAAAAACGAATTGATGCTTTGCATCTAGACTCATGTTGTAAGCTACGTCTCTACGATTAGTTTTCTCATTTTATGAAAACCCTCTTAAGTGTGACTTTTACCTTAAAATTCTTAATAAAAGTTAATTTTGAGTGTTACTTTATAATCTTTAGTAATCTGGAGTTGGACTGTTCAGTACTAGTCAGTTGCCATGTGTGGCAGTTGAGGACTTCGTATGGAGCTAATGTGACTTTAGATGTCTTGTAAGTATAAAATAGACACCAAATTTCAAATACTTAACATAAAATTCTCTTTAATATTTTAGTAGTTTTTATATTGACTGTATGTTGAGAAAATCTTGAATAAGTTGAATTAAATGAAATATATTACTAAAATTAACTTTTTTTTTTTTTATCTTTTTCTTTTTTAAACGTGACTGCCAGAAAATTTTTAATCATCTTTAAAAAATTTTTTTTGGTGCTAGGGATTGAACCCAGGGTCTTGAGCATGCTAAATGTACACTCTATCACTGAGTTACATTCTCAACCCCTGGCATTATATTTTTATTGGATATTGCTGTTCTAGAGCCCCACTATTCCAAGAATTAAATTAACTGAATGAAAGTACATATGTGAGACTGAGGATTTGTCTTAAGTGGTAGAGCACTTAATTAGCATGTGTGAGGCTCTGAGTTTGAATCCCGGCACCATGATAAATAACAGAACCGGAAATTCCTTAACACAATATTCTCTTATAATCAGAATAATCAAAGGCAGTAAGCAAGAAAAGTCATGTGATGGCCATTATTTGATAGGCAGAAACTAATTAAATTCTGTCTCAAAAATAAGTATTCAAGTCAAACCATCCCTAAAGAAGCAAAACTTTGTTAAAATAGAAACTTATCTGATTTCACTATTAGAATGCATTGAAAATTATATCTCATAGGTATTTTTAAAGTTGAGTTCAGCTGGGGATTTAGCTCAGTGGTTCTGCTGCCTGCCCCGCAAGCACAAGGACCCAAGTTCGATCCTTGGTACCAAAAAAATAAATAAATAAAGATTACCAAAAATTGAGTTCAACCCATTTTAAGATATAAAACCTGAGTCTCATATACTGTAGTTTGTAACCCAAAGTCTCATATAAAAATTGTAATTCTGATCCTTTTTTCACTAATTCTTTTGATGTTTGATACTGAGTTTTCAAGTTTACAAATTATTTCCTTTGGAAATTATTTTGTTTGCTTATTTTTTAAAAGACCTAAATTGTACCGAAGTCCAAATCTAATTAGTATTTTTAAGTTTTCTGAATTGAGAAGTATTGTTGCAGTTCATTTTAGTAATGTAGTCATCACATGGGTAATCTAGAATGAAAACAATAATTGTTTTAATTAATAGACCTTAGCCCTAATGTTTATTTTTTTATAAAAAATTATAAGCTACTTTATATACACACACAAAAGTGGAAAACACAAACTTCTGATCCTGAACTTGCTGCATAATATGTTAGACTGATAACAGAAAATGAAAATGTGTAGCTGGTTTGCAGTTTACTCTTAATAAAGCAGTTTTACATTTGTGTCATAATGAGAGATATCTATTACTCTTCCTGTTTTATGAGTCACCACTCATAGCAAGGAACTTACAGAGAATTACTTGAGTGAAGATCTATTTAAGTTACACCTCTAATTTAGCTTTTTTTGTTTGTTTTTTGAGACAGTCTAGAACGCACTATGTAGCCCAGGCTGGCCTTGATAATTTAGCATTTCTTACTCCTATGCCTTATCTTGTTTTTCTTCAGTTTTAGAAATTAGTAACTAAAGTTAGTACAGAATTTGGAAGGTTTTTCTTAGTCCCTGTAAGTACTGAGAGTTGTGGGCTTTTTAGTCCATTTTATCTCAATTTGAAATGTTTTGGGACTCTATTTAGGATGACTACTCGGTATGAACTAGAAATGATAATAAGACTTTCATCAGTCAGATCACAAAACGCATAAGACTAGACATTTTACAAATTAATATATTCTTAGCTCTTTGTGGTTCATTTATATATATCTTCTCAAAATAAATTATAAGGATAATAGAGTGTCATTTTTGGTAGTTACAAAAATATTTTCTAAGCTGGTAGTGTGGCATACACCTGTAATCACAGCTACTTTAGAGACCAGGGAAGGAGGATGACGAGTTTCAGGCCATCCTGGGGAACATAGTGAGACCCTGTCTCAAAGTTTTTTCTATGTGAATTTATAAAGTACTGGTTTTTTTTTTTTTGGTACTGGGGATCAAACTCAGGACTTTGCACTTGCGAGGCAGGTACAGTGCCACTGAGCTGAATCCTGGGCCCTGCTTTTTGTTTTTTAAGGGATGAAAGTCCAGTTTTGTCATCACTAAATATTTTATAAATTACATAAAATTTTCTGTTTTGGATAAAATTTTATGACCTAAGGAATCTAGAATTTATTGATTAAAAAATACTGAAGAAAGACATTTTTTAAAAATCAGAACATTATGTCTCATTGTATTAAGTTTGTAATTTTGCTGTTAGAAAGCGACATAGAGCCTTGGGAAAAATTTAACAAAGTTATTGCCACATTTTAAGGGTTTTTTTTTAAGGTGTTAATTGAGTTTCTGGTAGAAATTAAACTTCTCAGCATTATATTAAAAAGCTTGAGTGTTCTTATTTCTAAAATCACATACATATAAGGGTTATTACATCAGTTTGAAACACTGGATGATTGTGGAAAAGTAAGGAAAGAGTATTTGCTTTATATGTTTCATGTTAGCCAATGGCCTGTGATATCCTAGCCCACAAAATTAACATTTTCTAGCAAATGGCCATTGTGAAAAAATTATATCAATCCTAGTTATCTAACTTAGGATTCTAAGTAGTAGATTTAAGATAAAATTCTTGCTTACATTTACAAATTTTCCTTGTACAATGCTGCAACCCAGAAAACTACATTAAATATGTTAAACAGTTTTAGGGAGTGATTTGTTCACCCGCATAGTACTCATCTCTAAAGTGGAAGCAAACCAACAGGTTTTTAGATTGATGGCTTTAGTTGGTGTGGCAATGTGAGAGTGAACAGTGTGAAAACAAATTATAACTTGCCAGATTTGTCTAGTTTAAAGATAATAAGAGACTTTGCATTAGAGTTGTCTTAAGAAAACGTTTGTGTAGGGTGTTTATGTACCAACCCTGTAATACATATTTATTTTAGTTTTTTTTTAACCTTGGTTTTTGTGAACATAAAAGCACAGTGAACGCTAAAACAGCTTTTTGGGAGGGTGGGGCTGGGATACCGGTAAATGCTTTATTATATATTTTTCTCTCTTGAATCTGACTGTATTTTAAAATATTTAATTTGAGTAACTAGTATTTGATTTGCTAGCCATTCCTATGAAATAAAGTATTGGCTGTTTAATTGCCCTAAATACCTAGTTTTCTTTTTGTTCACTAGAGAGCTTTGTCAGACTTACGTAAGTTTTTTTCTTTTTTTTTGGTACCAGGGATCGAACTTGGGCCCTTGCGCCTGCGCAGCAGGCAGTGAAACTACTGAGCTAAATCCCCAGCCCTTACATAAGTTTTGAATTGGAAGATACAGAAAACTTGTGAAATGTAAAATGTTCAAGTTAGAGAGTGTAGTTTGGATACTAAATCTTCTATTTTACTAAATATCATGAAACAAAAATTTTAATCTTAAAAATAAGAAAATTCAGTTATTTCCAGTGTTAAGCATATGCGTGCATAGTTTTCCCCAAACTATAATCATAGCAAAGATAAATATGTGTATTTTGCTTCTCTTCTGCTTAGAATTATTAGATGAAAAATTTCTTTTTTAAAGATTCCCTGTGGGACCTGACAGATTTTGGTTCTATCAATTACTACCTGATACAGTTTTATCAAAAGTATTAGAATGATCTATAAAATTTTTTAGACAATGTTTTCTTTTACTCTGTTGTTAGCATTTTTCTTTCATTTGTAGACAACCCTGTCATCACAGTCTTTTCTTATATGTTGATCATTTTCAGTACCTTAATTAGCTTCCAAGTCAAGTTCTAACCAGTATTTCCTTTTTCAGGGGGCAACGCTGTCTTTTTCACACACAACTATTGTTTTGATCGGTAGTTTCTCAAGCTCACTAACTCGGAAGCTATATCTTAATATATTTTGGGGTAGTACTTATCCAAAAGAAACACAAACAACAACAACAAAAACAAAACCCCAGCAATCCAAAATAATTTGTGTTCCTAAAAATGGAATGCAGAAACTTAATCTTATTTTTTATGGTCATTAAGAAAAAACATAAAAGCTTTGATGAGGAACCAATACAAATATAAAGTAGTTGAAAGGAACACTGTTAAGTATTGTTTCTGGGAAAATTCTCATGAATCAATTCAGCAAATAGGTTTTTAAAAAAGATATCTGAAGTATATAAAACCATTCAGAAGTATTTCAGATTCTGAAGTTATGATGGTTGACTTTAGCAGTTAAATCTTTAAAGGTGGTTGATGCATATATAGTTAATTCTTACTTTTGTCTATTTCCAGCTTACAGAACACTACACAGTAAAATAATGATCTGCTAGACTGCTAACCCGAGCATCCAGCTTCCACAATGCCTGTGCAGGCAGCTCAATGGACAGAATTTCTGTCCTGTCCAATCTGCTATAATGAATTTGATGAGAATGTGCACAAACCCATCAGTTTAGGTTGTTCACACACTGTTTGCAAGACCTGCTTAAATAAACTTCACCGAAAAGCTTGTCCTTTTGACCAGACTGCCATCAACACGGACATTGACGTGCTTCCTGTCAACTTCGCACTTCTCCAGTTAGTTGGAGCCCAGGTAAACTTTTAGTATTTTACAAATTTAATATCAATAATAATTATCAAATTTTGTTCATTAAGGGGTACAAAATATGTTTAGTAATTTAGAATTAAAAAGTAAATACTGTGCTTCCCTAGCGTGTGCAAGGACCTGGATTCTGTCCCCAGCATTGAGATAGATAAAAGTTTTCCTTTTAAAACACAATATCTATTTTCAATATTTATAATCAAATTAGAGATTCTGAAATCAAGGTGCATCTTTAATAGTGCCATAATTTAATTGGCAGCATATTTTTCTTAATTGACCAATTGCCTCTTGAAAACAGTAATGTTTTAGCTCCAACAAAATACATGAGTATTTTGCAGTAATACTAGCTAACATTTATTTAGGGTTTGTAGTAGGTCAGGTATTGTGTTATTATTTCTTATATGAGTAAATGTTATCTTGGTCCTTAAAATAGCCCCCAGGTCTATCTAATGTGACTTCTGTCTTTTCCATCTCATCTATTACTATCTGGTTACATCGGGCTCCTAGCCATTTCTTAAATATGCCAATCACATTGCCCTCTAGAGTTTTCGGAGTGAATGTTGTCTTTGGCTATAATAATTGTGGCAAACCTATGGCACCTTGCCACAGCCAGGTTTTTGAAAACTCTAAAAGGTTCACCCTCACTGGCCTAGAATGTTACTTCTCTTTCTTCTTTAAATCTTTACTCAAATTTTGTAGTTCTCAAGGAAGCCTATTCAACCCTAACTCTATTAAAATTAAAATCCCTCTCTCACATTTCTAGTCCCCCTAATCTCATTGTATAATTTTTACTGATCTTCTAACACGGTATGTATTTGTTTTTGTTTTTTATTTATTTACTATCTCTTCACTAAAAAAATCCCATAGGGCAAAAAATTTTCTTTGTTTTGCTCACTGATAAGTGCCTAGTGCCTAAGACTTTCCTGCCTCATGATAAGCACTTCAGAAATACAAATAGTGATTGAATTAAACTGAACTTTCATAATGGCACTATGAAATATGGATATTCATCTTCATTTTGCAGATACGGAAATTATGATGTGTAATAGTCAGATACTTTTCTCAAGATCACTGATAGAAGTGCCAGAGCTGCAATATTTACCCAGGCTTTTTGCCTTGTGTGTGTGTGTGTCCGTCTTTCTCTCTGTATGTCTGTCTGTGTTTCTGGGGATCAAACTCGGGGCCTTGCACATGTTAAGCACTCTACCACTGAGCTGCATATCCAGCTCCCCAAGTTTTGACTTTTTTTTTCTAGTACTAGGAATTGAACTCAGGACGTTGCACTGGCCAGGCAGACATGGTGCCACTGAGCTAAATCCCTGGCCCCTCCAACTTTTGACTTTTGATTGAGAACATTGTCTTGTGATGCTTATATTTATCAAGGGAGAAATAGCCATAAATTATAAACCTAATAAGTAAAGAATAGAACAAGGGGGTGCTAAATGCTGTGAGGGGTAAAAAGTTCCTGCCTTTGTTTCCTACTTTTCATCTTGAAATACTTTTACACTACAAAAACGTTACAAAAATAGAGGACCTGTATAATGTCCCATAGTTTCCCCTGATGTTACCATCTTTTATAATTGTAGAACAGTTATCTACCCCAAGAAATTAGCATTGATACAGTTCTGTTAACTACCAACTTCTTTTTTCCCCTTTAATTCACAAATCCTCTATTATTAACTCTTTTATCCTTGGTTTTTGGAAAGCAGTTCATTGAGGTGCTTGGCTTTGATGTATTTTCTTTGTATTATAATTTTACACTCACCAATATTACTATAAAGTATAATAATAACAGTTGCATGAGCTGGATTAATGTATTTTTGCAATTTTTCTTTTCTTAGGTACCAGATCATCAGTCAATAAAGTTAAGTAGTGTAGGTGAGAATAAACACTATGAGGTTGCAAAGAAATGTGTTGAGGATTTGGCGCTCTACTTAAAACCACTAAGTGGAGGTAAAGGTATGTTCATAAAAATTTTTAATAGTGAGTAGGACTTGGTAAGTGTAAATGTGGAACATTTACAATGATTATCATCACTGATTTCATGGATCCCAGTCTATAGGGTGAGATAGGTGTACAAGTGCAATAAATTATTTTAACTGCAGTGACAAAGGTGGAATTTTATCTTATCACTTCATACCTAGTGACTAGCACATTATAATAGTTATTGAACAAAATCAATCAAGTATTTTATTTTGTACCTCATAAAGTATGGTCTAAGCACTATTTTGGTGCTTGAGATACTTTAGCTAAACAAACAGAAAAATATACCTGCCCTCATGCATAACATTTATATTTTAGAAAAGGGAAAAAACTATAAAAAACAATTAGTAAAATAAAAAAGCAAGATTATTTAATAAACCCATACTTAGTATAAAAAATACCACTAGGGGATCAAATGTCATGGTAAGGGGAGAAGAGTGAATTGCAATTTTTTATTTTTTTATTTTTTTTATTTTTTTATTTTTTTGGTACTGGGGATTGAACTTGGGTCCTTGCGCTTGCGTAGCAGGCGACGAAACCACTGAGCTAAATCCCTGGCCCAAAGTGCAATTTTTATAGTGTCTAGTATAGGCCTAATTAAGAAGGTGACTTTTGAACTTGAAATGAGGTGAAAGAGGGGTAAAATAATTAACCACATAGGTTCTGAGGAAGAAGTGTTTTAGATAGAGGGAATAGCCAGTGTAGCATCCTAAGCATGCCTAGTGTCTTGAAGCAAAAGAAAGAGGAGAGAGTTCCTGAAGAAATGTGAGGAGGAGAGCACTATAAGAGTAGATGAAATGGGGAGGTCAAGTAATAAACAGACTTTTCAAGCCATTTAAAGACTTGAGCTGTTATTCTGTGTAATTGGTTTTGAATGGAACAGTAGTACGATCTTACTAATGTTAAAGGAATCACTTTGGCTGCTCTGTTGAGAATTCTATATAGAAAGGCAAGAGTAGAAGCATGATAATCAGATAAGAGGCTGTTAGGGCAGTGGTAGCAGTAGAGCTGGTGAGAAGTGGTCAGTTTGGATAAATAGATTGAGTTCAGTTTTGGTCATAGTAAGTTGATTTCTAATATTCACTTAGATGCTATTGAATGGACAGTGGATATATGAGTTTTGTGTTACTGGATGAGGTCTGTGAGCTGTAACTTTGTAAGTCGTTGTCATATTGATGGTCTTTAAAATAGTGAGACTGGATGAGATCACCTAACAAGTGAGTTTAAGTAAGAGAAATATAGTGAGTCCTGAGTCCCTTTAACATTAAGAAGGCAGAGGAAAAAGATGAAATCAGCAGAGAAGACTAGAAAAATGAACAAGGAAGATAACCAAGAGAATGGAGTGTTTTTGAAACCAAATAAAGTATTTAAAGGAGTGAGGAGTATAATGTGTGTTGATTGCTATTGTAAAGGTCAGATAAGATAAAGACAGAATTATGGCTTTAGCAAATTAAAGGTATTTATCCTAAGAGCAGTTTTAGTTAAGAGATGATAGCAAAGACTTAATTGGATTAGAAATTAGAGATTGTGAAGCAAGAAGTTAGAAATAGTATAGAAAACTTGGAGTAATTACTAAAGAGAGAGGAAGGAAATGAGATACTGCTGGTAGAAAAAAGAAGAATTAATAAACTATTTACTTATTTATTTTTAAGATGGATGAAATAGCAGCATACTTATTGTATGCTAATGGAAGTAGTTAAGTAGAGTGGGAAAAGTTAATGATATTCGAGTGAGGAGTATTGCTGGGATAGGTTCAAATGAGTAGGATGTGAGATTGTATCATTAAGCAGTGTTATTAATGTCTTAGGTACAATGTTAAAAACTAGAACTATTAATAATCATTTTTAAATTAAAATTTTCATTTTGTCACCTTTAACTTTTCCTTAAGTTGCTTTAGTAAAGATAGAAGACTAAATATATCCAAAGTGTTATGTTTGGAACATGCAACCCAGAAAACAAGATACCTAAATAAAATCTGAAGTCACAAAAATTAGCTCCTTACTATACAGAATGTTAATAAACAGAGACAAAATAGTCATTGTTAGTGATTTAATGTTAAATGCACTTAATGAAAATTGCCTTTTTTATTGAAAAATGTTCTGTTTCCCTTAAAGGCATAGCTAGTTTGAACCAGAGTGCACTGAGCCGTCCAATGCAAAGGAAATTGGTGACACTTGTAAACTGTCAACTGGTGGAGGAAGAAGGTCGAGTCAGAGCCATGCGAGCAGCCCGTTCACTTGGAGAAAGAACTGTAACAGAACTGATATTACAGCACCAGAATCCTCAACAGTTATCTGCCAATCTATGGGCTGCTGTCAGGGCTCGAGGATGCCAGTTTCTAGGCCCAGGTAAGATCACCATCTCAGCTTTGTTATTGGTTATCAGGGCTTGAGATGCCAATTTCTACAGCTAGGTGAAAATCCTGAGAATCAACTCATCAATATTTATACATACATATCTTGGCATACTTAAAAATGAATCTCTTTTGTTAGTCATAATCTGTATTATAGATAGTGCTTTGGTGTTTTAGAAAAATGTCTCATTTAGTTCTGAGCCATCACTGAGATGGGTGACAAAGCTACAGCTTTTAAAATTAGAAGACTGGGGCTAGGGATTTTAGCTCAGTGGCACTGCGCCTGCCTTGCAAGTGCAAGGTCCTAAGTTCGATCCCCAGTACCAAAAAATAATAAATGAATAAATAAATAAATAAATAAATAAATAAAATTAGAAGTCTGAGCTAGAAAGAGGTGTAAGATTACATGAGTAGTAACTAGTCAAGGAAAGGTAAACCTTTTTTTTTCTGTCTAGGGGGAAACTGACTTTTTAGAACTTGGGAAACATAAAAATTAATTGAAAAAGCAATTACCAGAGGATGATTCTTTTATGGTTAGTACTACCTATGTTCTTTTTTAAAACTTTCTGCTGGGCTGGTGATGTGGCTCAGTGGTAGCATGCTTGTGTAACCTGCACAAAGCCCTGGCTTCAATGCATAAGCCTGAACTACACAGCAAGTTCAAGACCAGCCTGGACTACTTGTAAGACCTGTCTGGAAAAGCAGCCTAAGCCAGTCATGGTGGTGTATGCCTGTAATCCCTGCATTTGGAAGGCTCAGGCAAGAGGATTGCCACAAGTTCGAGGCCAGCCTGGTCTAAATAGTGATCTCAAGGCCAGCCTGAAATACATGGCAAGACCCTGTCTCAGAAAAAAAACAAAAATAAAACAAAAAATAACCTAAAGATTTATCAACTAAAAGCAATATATAGCCTTTATTTGGGTGCTTACACCAATTATGAGAAGGCATCTTTGAGACAGTAAGAAAAACAGAACAGCCAAGCGTGTGGCGCATGCCTGTAATCCCAGCAATTGGGAGGCAGGAGGATTGCTGTGAGTTCTAGGCCCGCCTGGACTACATAGTGAGTTCAAGGCTAGCCTGAACTACATACCAAGACCCTGTCTCAAAAAAAAAAAAAAAAGAAGAAAAGAGAAACAGAACATAGCCTGGCTATTAAATTATATTAAAGAAATATGTATTACTTTTGTTAGGTGTGATAATGGTCTCATTAAATTTTTTTAAAGCTTTACCTGTTAGATTCTGAACTATTTAAGGGTGGGTAAAGTATTATGTTATATGGGATTTATTTCAAAATACTCCACCCAAAAATTAAAAGGCAAAACCTCCAGGGCTGGGGATTCAGCTCAGTGTTTCCGCTGCCTGCCTCGTAAGCACAAGGTCCTGAGTTCGATCTCCAGGTCTGGGGATTTAGCTCACTGGTTCTGCTGCTTGCCCTGCAAGTGCAGGGACCTGAGTTTGATCCCCACTACCAAAAAGAACCCCAGCCAAAACAAACTAGAAAAGTAAAAGTAGATGAAACCTTTCTGACAACTGCATTATGGATACATAGTATCTCTATTTTTGTATATGTTTAAAATTTTCCATACTACAAAGTTAAAGTTTTTGAGTTTACATTTTTATATAATTTAAAAATGTTACCTTTGGATATTTCTTTATGTTTACTTATCTTAAACTAAGAAGCATTAGATTAGCTATTGGATCTTTTTTACTCTTGAACTCAACAACAAAAAGACAACCCAACTTAAAAGGGATCAGAATGATAGAGTGTTTCCCTGGGTTCAGGCATCAGTACTGCAAAAAAGATCCTTCCAAGAGACACAGATACCAACAATTACATGAAGATACTGCACACCTCTAGTTATTAGGGAAATACAGTATAAATCAAAATTTCAGGGAGAGCCTAGGGGGTGTATAACTCAGTGGTAGTGTACTTGTGTGGCATACTTAAGGCCCTGGGTTTGCTCCCTAGCACCTCCAAAAGAGGCAGTGAGAGACAATGACACACAAGAAGAAAGATAATCAGAAAAAAGTAGGAAGTTAGAAAGAAAGTCAGAAAGAAAAGAAAAAAAGAGAAGAAACACATATCTTTAATCCTAGCACTCTAGGAGGCTGAGGCAGGAGGATCACCAAGTTCAAGCCCAGCCTGGACAGCTTTGCGACTTAGTGAGATGTTGGCTCATAATCAAACCATAAAATTTTGTTTTGTTTTTGTTTTTTGGTACCGGGGATTGAACTTGGGACCTTGTGCTTACAAGGCAGGTGGCAGAACCATTGAGCTAAATACCCGGCCCTCAAACCATAAAATTTGAAAGGGCTGAAAATGTAGCTCATTGCAGAAGTCCTGGGCTCAATCCTTAGGGCTGCAAAAAGAAGAAAAACCATAAGGACACACCACTTCATACCTGTTTGGCTATAGTTTTAAAAAATGGAAAATAAGAAGTATGATGAGAATGTGAAAAATGAGCCATATAAATTGATACACTGCTGTGGGGAAAACAATTAGGCAGTTCCTCAAAAGTTAAACTTGACCTAGCAGTTTCACTGGGGTATATGCCCAAAAGATGAATGTTTGTAGTTCTAGTCACAAATGTTAAAAGGTGGAGCAGTCTAGTTGTCAGTCAACTGATACATGTTTAACAAAATGTACTATATTCATAAATGAAATATTATCCATAAAAAGGAATGAACTATTGATACATGTTACATGTGGATGAATTTTAAAATACTATATTAAGTGAAGGAAATAGAACATATGAGAATTAATTGCTTAGTGACCATGGGCTTTCCTTTGGGGTAATGAAAATATCTTAAAGCCAGATAGAGTTGATAGTTGTACAACATTATGAATCTACTAAATGCTACTGCATTGTACACTTTTTTGTTTCTTTTTGCAGTGCTGGGGACGCAAACTAGGACTTTGTGCATGCTACATGTATCTGTACTGCTGAGCCTCACCCCCAACTCAGTATACTTTTAAATGGTTAATTTTGTGTGAATTTTACCTCAATTTTTTAAAAATTCTTGATTCTAAGTCCAATTTTGCTACTAATTATATCACCTTGGCTTAGTAACTTCTCTGGGTCTTAATAAAGCCTCACCTGGGAAAAGAGGGTTTGATTTTGAATCTAGATTCTAGATCATCTCTTACTTCTAAAGTTTCTTTGTTTTGATAACCATACATTTTTAACTTTGAAGTAATTTCAGATTTACTGAAAAGTTTAAAAACTAATGGAAATAATTCTCTGTATACTCTTTCTCCACATTCGCCAGTTTTTACTATTTTGCCTTATTCTTTTTTGAACCATTTAAGAGTACCATTACACATTTTATGTGCCTTTACTCTCAGTACTTCTGTGTGTTTCTTTAGAACAAGGATACTCATTTATCTGATAATAGTACGTTTATCAAATTCACAGAATTTGCCGTTGATACAGTACTACAACCTGTAGGTCTAGACATTCGAATAAATATGTCTTTTATGAAATTTATTTTCTTCTAGTGTAAGATCCAGTTCACAATCACTTACTGTATTTGTCATATCTGTTTATCATTATACTGAAACCATTTTCTGCCTTTCTTTGTCTTCCATAACATTGATGTTCTCGAAGAATACAGGACATTTTGTAGACTGTTCTTAATTTAGATTTGTCTGATGTTCCAACATGAGTTGATTCAGATTATATCATACAACATTAGGTATTTTAGGTATTGCATCTAGAGGCTCATGTCATTTTAAAATTATATGTGAAATATGGGATGGTGTGTGGCTCAGTGGTAGAATGCTTTCCTTCTATGCACAGGACCCTGCATTCCATTCCCCAGCCCTGAAAAAACAAATAAAAATTTTTGAAATTGTATATAGTATAGTTTCTGACAGGCAGAGTAACAATCTTATGTGTAGCATACTGTTTGTCCTTTGCTGCATGTTGTCAGAGTAGTTCTGTGTATTCTATGAGTTATTATTTCACCTTAATATTATTATTACCTATTGTTTACCTACAGAAGATACTTTATATGCTGGGCATGGTGGTACACGCCTGTAATCCCAGCGCTTGGGAGGCTGAGGCAGGAGGATCGCTGTGAGTTTGAGGCCAGCCTGAACTATATACTGAGACCCTGTCTTAATCCAAAAAAAAGAAGATACTTTATATAAATTCTTTTGTCTTGTGTTTTCTTTGGTTATTTAGGAGGAAATATGTTTTCTTCTGCCTGATTACTTTTAAAATAAACTGTATTTCAGAAACTGTGTTCTCTTTTTGTGCAGTTACCTACAGATTGTGAGTAATGGATTCTCACAAACTAATACTCAAGGATACCCTTGACAAACATGATCTGCAGGATAATTAACTCATGTTCCCTTAATATTTCTAGCTATGCAAGAAGAGGCCTTGAAGCTGGTGTTGCTGGCATTAGAAGATGGTTCTGCTCTCTCACGGAAAGTTTTGGTACTTTTTGTTGTGCAAAGACTAGAACCAAGATTTCCTCAGGCATCAAAAACAAGTATTGGTCATGTTGTGCAACTACTGTATCGAGCTTCGTGTTTTAAGGTAAGCATTAAGCAGTTATCTAAAGATTGTATGCTTATATGTGAGATACTGAACAGAACATAAGGAAATAGTTTGATAAATTGTGTACTCTTTTTCAGAAAAAATTTAAAAAGTGGATAGTGAAAGTGGACTAAAGAAACCTTATTCAGTTGTATTTATCATTTTAAAACCGAATCAGAACCAGGCATGATGACACACATGTGAATCCCAGCACTCTGGAAATCTAAGGCATGTAGATTGCAAGTTCATGCCCAGCTTGGGCAACTTAGTCTCTGTTTTGAAATAAAAAATGGGCTGGGGATGTGTGCATAGTACCTGGGTTCACTCCCCAGTACCATACAGGGGAAAAAAAAAAAGCAGAGGTGGGAGTAGGTGCTCAGAAACTATATTGTAACCTTCATTAGATTTGGTAAACTTTGTAATGCATTATTTTTATCTCATTCTCTGTAGCGATTAAAGCCTTTAATCTGAAAGTGGCCCATGTGTTTTAGGGATGACAAGAAAGTGAAATTTGAAAGGATTGTCCCACTCAGCATTCTGTGTAGGGTTTCTTTGTTGTTGTTGTTGTTTGGGGGAAGAGCAAGATATTTTAAAGTGTAGCATTATTGTGTAATAGGTCAGTGGGGAGTGAAAAGTACTAAGAGAAGTGAAAAGCACAGTGAATCCTTAAAGTTTCTATATAAGAATGTAGGTTATCAGCTAGTTCTTGAGAAAGACACAAAGGCTGGGAAAGATCTCTTGGCTTCTGTGAAAGTAAAACATCTAAATTTGAAACCAAAGACTATTTAGGCTCTTTTGCTCATTTTAAAGCCCCCGAAGTAAAAATGATACAACTCCCCCGCAAACAAAATTTCTTTGTTAGATTGCTCAGGTTTTAGATAACAGGTAATTGATGATGGAAGTGTGTTCAAATGGATTCATTTAACTGTACTTACTGAGGCTTGGATACTATCTGTCTGTTAGTCAGAGTGCTTGATTTCATGTCCTTAGGGAGGCAACAATTGAAATGAATCTCTTGATTCCTCAAACATTATGTTTTTGCTAATCAGCCAAACTACACAGATTGTTTGTCATCCTGAAATGACTAACTAGGTTTTCATGCTGTAAATCACTGATACAACGGGGTTTTTTTCTTATAGGTTTCATACTGATTTGTGATTTATGATTATCATACATCTATACTTGGTACTGATATACTTGGTACTGATATACTTGGTATCTGACATTTGAATAACATTGGTTTAGAAAGTTTTTTCATTTTTATGTTCTCATTTCATGCACACTGCCAAATAGTTTAAAAGGTTAAAGCGCAGTGTTTGGATGAATAAAATAATATCATGTTGACTTAACTGCCAAAGGACCTCCTCACTTGGGTGACATTTACTGTTAGCAAACTCATCATTGTTCAAGATCTTTTACTCATCTTTATCAGTCTAGAGATGTGAATTTTGAGGGTACATAGTGTGGAGGTCAGACTTAATTGTGTCAACTTGGTTGACTTGGGAGCCACCAGGGGAATTGGTAAACCATACTTCTGGGTGTATATGGGTAGATGAAGGAAGTGTGATCTTGCATACTCTATCTGGTCCCTCATCCCTTCCTCTTTGGCATTGTTGCCCTTCCCTGCTCCCTGGTTGCCATAAACTAAGCATCTTTGGTCTACCACACCTTTCTGCCAAGATCATTCTGCATTTTAAATCTGTGAATCATGGACTGCATTCCCCGAGACTGTGAGCTCAATTAAATTTATCTTCCTTTAAATTTCAGGTGTCAGATATTGTGTCCCAGCAACAGAAAGCTAACACATACAGTAGATTCTTTGTTCTAGACCAAGATTACCCTAACCAAGATTACATACAAGAGGTTATTGATTTTATTCATTTGTAATGAGAAATCTGATCCCTATCCCTAGAACCAGAGATCAAAGTTAGGGACCTCATACGTTTTAGGCAAGTGCTTTGTCACTGAGATATACCCCCATCCTCTCAGAAGTGCATTCTTAAATGCTTTGGATTCTCTCAGGTATTTTCCTGTAAAGCATATCAAACCTAAATATGGAATCAGAACAATGGGAATTAATGATTGTCATGTTCAGTTCAGTAGTTCTCAACTGAAAATATCTATCAGAATCACCTGTGGAGCTTTTAAAAATACGCATTTCTGGGACCCTAGAGATTCTGAATGAGCTTATCTGAAGTGGAACTTAAATGTTCGTATGTACTTTTTAGTTATCTTTGGGGATTCTGATGCAATGAACCTAAGATTGTGTCTTTCAAAGCTTCACAAATGGGTTTAATACATATCAGCTCATTAATAGGACTAGGCTTTGTTATCCACCTATGTCCTTCAGTACTTCAGTGGTCATGCTGCTCTGGGGTTACTCTATGCCCTATCTGGCGCTGAGTGCTACTACCTAAGTGGTTGTTTGTTTTTTTTTACTATTTAAGTTAATACTTCTTTAAGTAGGTTATGGTAGAATATAGATTTCTCATACTCTACTCTCCCTGGAATTACAGGCATGCACTGCCACACCCAGCTTCTATTCTTTCTTAAATACCTCCTATTTTATTGATCAAGTTTTTGAGGGTCCCAAACTCTTTTCTAATGTATTTATGGATTCCCAAAGAGAATTATGACCTATAATTCTCTAATGTTAACTTGATTTCTTCATATTCATGTTCTTGGAGGCATAGTACTGTTGTCTGATATACCAGTAACAGCAACAGAAGCAACCAGTGAAGTAGTCTATGGTTATTTTCCTTTACCAAGAGGGAATACTAAGTTTTGAATAGTTTGCCTGATGTGTACAATCTAAACTTCAGAACCTGGACTAGTCTTATGTGTTCTAAATCATAACAAAGTTTCAGTTATCACTAACAAGTTTTAGTGTTCAGGAATAAATATGTATCATTTATTTCTGGAATTTGTACATCTATATACTTGCATATTTTGATTATTACACAACTTCACTAGTTCATGTGACTGAAAAAACTTATATAACTTTGGTTATTTCTCCCCCTGCCCTTTTTTTTTTTTTAGTGCCAGGGATTGAACTCAGGACCTTGGCGCTTGATCTGAGACCACTTCCCTGGAAAGGACTTTGTCTTTCTGCTCTTGCCATCCATTCCCTTCCAGATTTGTAGCCAGTTAGATTTTTACTTTAGAAAGAAGTTATACTGTTTTCTCCTTGGATGTGATGGTGCACATCTGTAATCCCAGCTCCTGGAGAGGCTGGAACAGGAGGAGCACATGTTTGAGCCCAGCCTGTACAATTTAGTGAGATCCTGTCTCAAAAAGATTAAGCAGGCCGGGGTGGAAGTGGGGCATAGGGATGTTGCTCAGTGGTAGAGCACCCTGGATTCTAAAGCATAAATGCTGTAGTATATTTTTGTCTTGAAGCACATACTCTTAAATTCTCCTAAACACTCACGGACAGAATTATGGGCCAGCTGGAAAGTTTCCTGGCAGCCCCAAAGTTTCTATTTGGAAAATTTTCCATGATTTAATTATCAGACTGTGACGATGTAAGATGTGGTCACCAACTCAAAGCAGATCTTAAAAGATTGGTGTGGTTTTTGTTGTTGTTGTTTTGCTTTTACTGGTAATGTATATCAGCTATTCTGTTAAATGAAATTTTTCTTTATGTAAAAAGTTGTTCAAAAGTTTATTTCTTTTTTTGGTACCGGGGATTGAAATCGGGACCTTGTGCTTTTGAGGCAGGTGGCAGAACCACTTAGCTAAATCCCCAGCCTTGTTCAAAAGTTGATATGGTTTCTATACAGATAAAAGATTATGCTGCTTTGCCCAATAAAATCCTTTCACTTGTCAAAAAAAAAAAAAAGGTGGGACCATTGAGCTTCATCCCTGGCCCTATAACTTTTGAATTTATAGTTTTAAATCATTTAAACCAAGTAGAGTTTAAAGTTTTATAAATACCTTGGTGATAATTTCTGTTGTGAAAGAAAATTCTTAATTATCATGTGGTAGTGCTAATATATATGTCTAGCCATTGATTGAATTTCCTTCTTTCTTTCTTTTTTATTTTTTGGTGCCATGATGCCATGGATGAAACCTAAGGCTTTGCTCCTGTGAGGCAAGCACTGTACCACTGGACTATGCTCCAGTTCATATTGGGTAGACTTCTCGCTTATCTTCTTTATCAAGCCTCTACTGCTATCAGAGTGGTGTTTATTGAGATATAAATCATTGTATCACTCCTCTACTTAAAAGTTCCCAGTGGCTTCTCATTCTCATCAGGATATTTCTTACCATAATATATAGTATCACAACCCCTATGACTCTTACCCAGCTTACCCTTTAATTATATGTCCTCTCTTTCATGTTTCTATTTTACAACTTGCTACTCTTTTTAGAATTCTATTCCTCACTGTAGTTCATGTTGATGTAGTTCATGAAATCTTCAGCTGGGAGAACCCTTTTCTGAAATCTCTTTCTTCTCCTTCCCAGTCAGATTTAATTGCCTTTCCTCTTCGTTGCCATAGAGCCTTATAATTGCTCTCTTACTATAATTTTCTGTTTACTAGTCTCTCTTCTTTGCCAGCTGCTGAACTCACTGATGACAAAGACTGTGTGTTTAGTTATAAAAGGTCTGTTTTGTTCCAAAAAGAATTTGTACTTTAGGCATTATCTTTGTATCTACTATGTGTGATGTCTTATATGTAGTACGTGCCCTCTTATTCCCTGCTAAATGAATTGGCTTAGGGGAAAAGGAATAAATCAATTCTGATGGAGTTTTCTTTTTCTTCTTTTTTTTTTCATTTTTAAAATTTTGTAGGTTACCAAAAGGGATGAAGACTCTTCCCTGATGCAGCTAAAGGAGGAATTTCGGAGTTATGAGGCACTGCGCAGAGAACATGATGCCCAAATTGTTCATATTGCTATGGAAGCAGGACTCCGTATTTCACCTGAGCAGTGGTCTTCACTCTTATATGGTGACTTGGCTCATAAATCACATATGCAGTCCATCATTGATAAGGTTTGTGAAATTAGAGATGCTGATTTTATACCATTGTTGTGACTTTGAAAAGTGTTGGAATATAGATGCTTCTCTGTCTAAATCCCAGTAAATTCATCTATATTGAAAATGCATTTAATATATTTAACCTACCAAACACTGTAACTTAGCAACACTGTACATCATAGAGTATTGATTGTTTACCCTCATGATCCACATGACTAAGAGCTATATATAGCTCAGTGCCAGTGCCCAGCATTTTAAGAGTATCATACTACATATCACTGGTCTGGGAAAAAATGAAATTCAAATCCTGAAACACCATTTCTACTGAGTATATTGGTTTCTAACATTGTAAGGATAAAAAAATCCTAAGTCAAACCATTGTAAGTCATGTCTATGTTTTAAAGAACTAAAGAGAAAAAGAAGTTGAAGATTTCCATGTTTTTAAATATGAGACTTTTTTTTTGGTACCAGGGATCAAACTCAGGACTTTGTGCTTGCAAGGCATGTGAGGTGCTGCTGAGCTAAATCCCCGGACATCTTTTTGGGTTTTTGTTTTGTTTTTGTTTTTGTTTTGGTACCAGGGATCAAACTCAGGACCTTGTGCTTGCAAGGCAGGAGCTGGAACCACTGAGCTAAATCCCTGGCCCCTCTTTTTGGGTTTTTGAGACCGGGTCTCACCAGGTAGTTCAGGCTGGTGTTGAACTCACTATGTAGTCCAGGCTGGCCTCAAACTTGCAGCGATTCTCCTGCCTCACCCTCTCAGATGCTGGAATTACAGGTGTGTACCAGCATGCCCAGCTTTTTTATTACTTTTTAACTCAAAATAAACTAAGATATAGCAGGGAATCAAATATAAGATAGTAGCATAAAAGCAGCTAGGCTTACAGTCTCAAGTTTATCTACATTCTGATCCCAGAGAATAAATACAGCTTATAAATGTTTTCTAAGTGTCTGATGATGAGTTTTATAGGGCAGATTCTGAGGTGAAAATTTAATTCATCATTGATACTCCTTCTGTGGAATCTGAAGACACTTGAAAACCTGTTACATAGCTGGTCTTTTGAGAGCATTTGAATATATGTATTTCATAAAAACCAGAGTAAAAAAATTCTCTTTTTGTTTGTTAGCTGCAGTCTCCAGAATCATTTGCAAAGAGTGTCCAAGAATTGACAATTGTTTTGCAACGAACAGGTGATCCAGCTAACTTAAATAGATTGAGGCCTCATTTAGAGCTTCTTGCAAACATAGACCCTAATCCAGGTATGTGGGGAAGTGCTCACATGCTTGTACTTTGTCTCCCTTTGAGGTAAGCACCACAAAACGTTGCTAACACCTTTTTCCTTTACTCCATCCCTTTGATGTTTATTTTAGATGCTGTTTCACCAACTTGGGAGCAGCTAGAGAATGCAATGGTAGCTGTTAAAACAGTGGTCCATGGCCTTGTGGACTTCATACAGAATTACAGTAGAAAAGGCCATGAAACACCTCAGGTAGGTACATTTATTGCACTTTTGACTGCTGTTATCTCTGTTTCATCCTGTATATCTTTTTTTTTTTGGTACTGGGGATCAAACTCAGGACCTTGCGTTTGTTTGCAAGGCAGGCAGCAGAACCACTGAGCTAACTTCCCAACCCTATCCTATACATCTTAACAACCCATTTGGTTAATAGACTATTTTCTTTTCTTTTTTTCCCAGTACTGGGGATCGAACTTGGAACCTTGTGCTTGCAAGGCAGGCACAGTGCCACTGAGCTAAATCCCCAGCCTGGTTAATAGACTCTTTGTGTGACTCTTTTCTCTCATAAGATTGGTTTGGTTTGGTTTGATTTTGTGTGATGCTAGGAATTGGAATCAAGGCCATACACATGCTAGGCAAGCACTCTTCCACTGAGCTACAGTTCCCAGCCCTCTCATAAATTTTTATTGTCTCTATTCTTTTGGAAGAAACTCTGCTTTTAGTGTACCTGATAAGCATTCCATAGCAGTAAAAAGTGTGCGGATATCTTGGATATGAGTTCACTGAATTTCAAAATGGTTTTGACAGGTATAGCTCATTGATTCCCTCCAAATATGTGGTTCATTTCTTTTCTACTGTGGGAAATTGTCACGTTTTTCCTCTATTATTATCTCCCAAATAAATTTCTTTTTGTAAAATGTATGGAATTTGAATTTTCAAGATATTTTCATTCTTACTTCACAAGAAGTTAAAATAAATGCTTCATTCTAATAATACCTTCCATTTATTAAGTTATCAGGGGTCAGCCACTATGTAGAATACTTTGCATAAGTTATTCCTCACAGCTATCTGCAAGGTAGTTGCTATTCGAAAGTTGCAATTTAAAGAAGTTAAATAACATCTAAGATTATGTTGTCAGTAACAGAACTAGGGGTAAATCTACAGAATCTGTTATCTTTTTACCCTTCTATCCATTAGACATTATAATACTCAAATATGAACTGAATGATATTTTTATCTTATTTGGGTCACAGAAATAAGAATATCTTAGATTTTGATGTAAATTATAGCAGTTATTTTTTATATTTTATCTCATTATTTGTGTGAATTAAACATCTTAAGCCTAATAATTGAGTTATACTTCCAAGCTGTCTAATGAATTTTTCATTTTTAGGTGAATTGTATTTTACCATTCATGAGAAAGTTTACATGAATAAAGCTTATAGTTTTATTTTTTTAAGACAGATTCTTGCCATGTAGTTCAGGCTGGCCTTGAACTCACTATGTAGCCCAGGCTGGCCTTGAATATTCTATGATTCTCCTGCCTCAGTTTCCAAGTGCTAGGATTGCAGCCAGCACTGCACCACCAAGTGCACTGTTTATGGGTTTTTAAGCTGCTTCTTCTTTTTTTTTTTTTTCTAGTACCGGGGATTAAACTCGGGACCTTTCGCTAGCGAGGCAGGCAGCAGAACCACTGAGCTAAATCCCCGGCATGGCTTTTTAAAATATAGTTTATTTTGGTAACAGAATTTTAAGATAGCAGTTATTTAGTAAGAAATCTTTTTTATTTAGCTTTTCTTTGGGGGGACATTATGTTGCTTGACAAATAAATAGACATGAAGTTTGAATCAGTTTCAGATAATCTCCAGAAAGAATGTAAAATGTCATCTCATGGTTATGCTTGATAACACACAACAATAAACAATGGAGTGGTAGTTTTAGGACAAGAATTACTTATCTAATGTGAAAAAGAATTGCAGATATAAACATTAAGTTCTGAAGTCCTAAGAGTGAATAATAACTGAAATCTTTTTCACATACTGAATGTTTTCCTTTTTGTAGCCTCAACCAAACAGCAAATACAAGACTAGCATGTGCCGAGATTTGCGACAGCAAGGGGGTTGTCCACGAGGAACAAATTGTACCTTTGCCCATTCTCAGGAAGAGCTTGAAAAGTAAGTTTTGAGAATTTTCTTTCACATGGGTTTAATTTTTGGTCATTATGAGACTGTCATATACAGTCTTAAAGTCTGTGATATCTCAAAGATGCAAGTAAGTTTATGTTTTAGATTCTTTAGATGCAAAAGTCGCTTTTTATTTTGAAATCTTTAGAAAATTAATCTGGGTGCCTTACTGAGGGATCTTTACTTTGGACCTTATTTTGTGCTTTATCCAGGGATCTTATTTTGGACCATTTTATAGCTGGAATCCATGGTTATTCTACTGGTTAAACAACAGGCATGTGTATCAATTCTTAGTGAACATCTTCATCTTGTTTTTAGACACTTTGCAGTCAAACTGAGCTAATTTTCTCCTCCCACATCTCCCATTCTTCCATCCTACTCTTCCTGTGTGTACCCTGTCAACCCTGTCCATCCAGCTATATATATCATCTTATGAGAGCCTTTGTTGTCAACTGTTTTCCCTTCACCTTTCCTTGCTTTATCATTTACCAAGTTCCACCAATTCAGTTTCCTACATGTCTTTTAACTTTTTTCATTGTATCCTTATAGTCACAGCTTTCTTCCCCTTTTAATCCATTGTTGCCTCCTAACTAGTCTTACTAGTCCTACTGTTGCCCACTTCCTCTTCCATTACTTCCCACAAAACAGAGAGCAATATTTTGAAAGCATAGATCTATTCACGTCACTCCTCTGCACCTGTCTGATATTTTCTCATTGCCCTATGGGTAAAGATAGAAAATTGCTGTGGAAAGAATGGCCATCATCAGGAAATCAAATAATAACAAGTGTTGGAGAGGCTGCAGGGAAAAAGGAACTCTTCTATACTGTTGGTATACATGTTGCTACCTTACAGATTTTTGAGAATAGGATGTTTGTTCACATAACAAACCAAAAGGTCAACAAATGTTTATTTAACTTAGATAAATTTTATTCCTGCTTGCTCCCCCCCCAATCACACAAAGTGCAGATGCTCAACAATCTCTCTTTAGAATGAATGTTGGAATCCTGCTCCCAAGAACTCCTGCATTTTGAGAAGTATCAAAAACCTAGATTAGCCAGCCCCACAAATATGTATAAAAGATTATTATGTGTTCGGTACTATTTGAAGGACTTTTAGTGAAGAAAGAGGAACAGTAAACATATAAACATGTACATGTCTGTAATCCTAGCACTTGGGAGGGTGAGGTAGAAGGATCTTGAATTTGAGCCCAACCTTGGCAGTTAGTGACTTAGTGAGACCCTGTCTCACAATAGGAACAGGGCTGTGGATGTAGCTCAGTGTGAAGGCCCTGTATTAAATCCCTAGTACCTCAAAAAAAAAAAGAAGGGTGAGGTGGGAATGTCGCTCATAGTAAAGTACCCCTTAGTCCGATCCCCAGTACTGCAACAACAACAAAAAGAAATCACTGTGGTGGCTCTATGAATTGAGACAGTTAACTGCTACAGTGGTCAGGTGTGAGATTGGTAGCATGGTCATAGGATTGTAGCACAAAATGATGAAATAATAAAAAGTAGTCATATTTGAGGTGCATTTTTTAAATGTATTTATTGATACATTTTAGGTATAAGATACATTTACATTTATCATTGGGTATTTGTACCTGAATATGATGTATCTTAGTTCTTATTTTTTTCTCCCATTACTTGTGCGCCCTTTACCCCCTCCACCCTTCCCTATTTACAGAGACTTTGATTCCATTTTTTTTTCTTTCTCCTAATTTTTCTTTTCTCTTCTTCCCTTTCCCTTTCCCCTCCTGCCATCCCCAAACCCTTGGACCTTTTCCTATTTCAAATTATCAGTTATTCATTTTAATCATTTTCATCCTTATTTACACTTTCAATTTCTCACACTAGAGAAAATATTCAGTATTTACACATGTGTGTGCTATTTATTTCACTTAAGAGTATGCCCTCAATATGCATCCATTTAGCTATAAATGTCTCTAGTTTCTTGTTCTTTATGGCTGAGTAGTACTCCATTTTATAAAAAAACCACATCATCTTTATTCGGTTTCCAGTTGATGGGCGCTTGGGCTGTTTCCAAGCTTTAGCTATTACAAAACTGTGCCGCTATGAACATAGGTGCACATATATTGCTGTGGTATGATTCTTTTAATTCTTTGGGGAAGATTCCTAGTAGGGGAATAGCTGGGTCAAATGGGACCTGTAGTCCCAGTTCTTTGAGGTATCTCCATACTGATTCCCACAGTGGTTGCACCAGTCTGCACTCCCACTAACAATGGAGAAGGGTTCCTTTCTCTCCATATCCCCCCCAGCATTTGTTTTCGGTTGATTTCTTGATAGCAGCCATTCCTTGTGGAGTGAGGTGGAATCTCAGTGTTGTTTTCATCTGCATGAGATGCATTTTGGAAGTAGAGCTGACAAGATGGATAGATTGAATATAGACTGTAAAGAAAAGAGGAATCAAGGAACCAATGTTTGGAGACTGCATAACAGTATTATCTTTTACTGAGACAGAAAATGTCTTGGGATAGAAAATCAGTAGAACTCTTGCCCATATGAAATTTAAAGCTTGACACTCATGCCACAAATATTTGTTAAATACCTAGTATACACAAGACCCTATATCATATGCATAAGAAGGGAAAAATCTCTGGCCTCACTGGACTGACATTGAAGTAGACCAGTATAAAACACATAAGTAGGAAGCATAATATCTAGTACTCATTGGTGCTAAGAAGAAAAATGACATAAGATAAAAAATAATGATTAGGAAAAGAGATATTTTAGATAAGTCGGCCTAGGAAGAGCTTTCAGAGGATGTAAGATATAAGCAGACACCTGAAAGAAGTAATGGCACAGAGAGAAAAAAGATAAGTATAGGAGTGAAGTCTTTAGAAAGGCATCCTAGGCTTGAGACCTGAGGCACAAGTGGAGAGATTTGCTTTATTAGGAACTGGAACTCCTTGTCCTTTTTCTTAGGAAGATTGTGTAGTTAAACGTGCAGGAAGGTTGGTGGAATTGGTATTAAATAATTCTCTTCTGGTTTCATTTGTCTTCTTGGTTAAGTAGGAGACAATATCACAGGCTGTGGAGGGGCTTTAGAAAGTGGAAGGGAAAAGGATAAGAGCCGGGAAAGTAAACTTAGTAAAGAATTATATTAATTATATTAATGAATTGCTTGGCCATTAAAAATCATTGTCTCCACCAACAAATAGCTACTTGAGAAAAGGCACAGAATAAGTGCAGTATTTGGTTAAGGTTTTTATCACGTTAATACAGGATAAATGAGACCAGTGAATTAAAGGTATTTACAAAGGAGGGATTAATGATGGATAATGGATTTTAAAATGGGTAAGGAAAGGAGCAAGTACTTGTGGGAGCTCTTGGATGATTTAAAAAAAAAATAGGAAAGCCAGGCATGGTACGCATACCTGTAGTCCTAGCATTTGGGAGGCTGAGGCAGGAGGATTGCTATGAGTCAGGCCAACCTGAGCTCCATAGTTCAGTGCCAGCCTGAACTACATAGTGAGACTGTTGAAAGAAAAAGACAGAAACAGAGAGAGACAGACAGAAAGGAAGACAGACAAGTCTAGATTCTAAGTGGGGTCTAGATTCTAATTCCAAGCCTGTAGTTGCCCGGATGCCAAGAGACCAATATATATCCCTTCCTGTCACTCACTTTTCCTGAGTTGGTTAAGGTTTCACTTCACTTACCCTAATTCTTCTCTTTTAAGAGGCTTGCATACAAAACTTTGTTTTTTGCTTGTTTGGCTAGTCTTAAGAATATCTGAGATTTGTCCTTTGGAGGTGAAAAGCAAGGAGTAACTGGGCATTTGTGTAAGAACTTTGAAGAAAAGAATGAAGAGTAGGTGTTAATAAGTTGAAGAAAGCACAGTGATTCCTGGACCTGGTCCTTTCATGCCACCAATTGTGTTTTTGAAATATAGGTCTGCTCGTGTGCCTCCTCCTTCCAAGAAGGAATCATTCCCTCAACGTCTGTAAGATAATGTGTACGCCATCACCAGGATTTTTGTTTTTTTAATTTTAAACTTTATGTTTATTATTCTACCTTCAGCCAGTCTGATGTGCAAGCATTTGTCTGTTACTCAGCTTCATCTTGTGTGTTTGTGGGTGAATAATGAAGCTTTTTATAGATACTGAAGGTTTAAAAGGGAAAGTATTCTGAAAACGTGACTTATCACTAACACTATTAACATTAATATCACATTAATTTAGACATAATCATAACTCCATATGTATGTAACTTTCTTTCTGTTTATGTAACTTAATTTGCCCCACTTAAAAAATATTGGAAGGGACTTTATAGTAATAAGGACTGGGACCAATAGTACATTATAATGAAAGTTTTGATCTACAAGTGGAGACAGATTATCTTAAATGGAATTCAGGATCAAATTGTTTCCTGTATTAGAATATTATGTCTGGTCACCATAAATAAAACTCAACTTAGTATCAGAAAAGTGTTTAATCCAAATAATTTTTACCTTAGGCATAAAGTAATCTGAGAAATGTAATAACCAAATTTCTACATTTTGGTGTAATGTTTAGAATGAATTTTGAGTTTTAAACTTCTTTAAAAGTATACCATGCTTTAACAATTTAATAACAATAGAAAATGCTTTCAACTCTTACATACCTTTCTTCATTTTATATTCCACTTATATAAGATTTTCAAACATTGTTTTCCCACTCTGTCAAAAAGCTACTTTGAATAAATGTGTACTTAGCTAGCTGTATTATGTACCTGTATATACATGTATATCATATATGTATGTATGTATATTATATACATATGTGAGTGGTATATGTATTTCCATGTGACATCAGTCACAGTAGAATTTGATATAGAATGTGTTGATTTTTAACGGAAGAAACTTTTCAAAGCTGTTTCCTTTTTAAAAAATATTTCCCATTTTTTTTCTTCAGAGTAAGATTTAGAGCAATATTCACCAATATATTGTTTTTAAACAGGTATCGATTAAGGAACAAAAAGATCAATGCAACTGTAAGAACGTTTCCTCTTCTAAATAAAGTTGGTGTAAACAACACTGTCACAACCACAGCCGGAAATGTCATTTCTGTCATAGGAAGTACTGAAACAACGGGGAAAATTGTTCCAAGTACAAATGGAATTTCAAATTCAGAAAACAGTGTTTCCCAGCTAATCCCTCGTAGTACTGACAGTGCATTAAGAGCTCTGGAGACTGTGAAGAAAGTGGGGAAAGTTGGCACTAATGGTCAGAATGCTGCTGGTGGGCCCTCTGGAGAGTCTGTAACTGAAAAGTAGGTATTAGGTAAAAATGATTAATATCATTATTTTCCTTTTAGAAATGCCCAAGTATTTTTTTTAATCTTGAAGAAGAGCAGTTAATTCACTTTTTTTTTTTTTTTTTTTGGTACTGGGGATCGAACTCGGATCCTTGCATTTGTGCAGCAGGCGGCGAAACCACTGAGCTAAATCCCCGGCCCCTAATTCAAATTTTTATGAAGAATGTTTCATGTAGTAGAATAAACACTAAATACCCCAAATTTTTAGTTCTAGACCTGGATTTGCAACTGAATAGCTCTGCAAAATTGGAATATCATTTCATCTCTGAGTTCTCTTTTCCTCAAATGTACACTCTAGAGACTGGACCAGAATTGGGTTTTTCAAACCTTAGTTCCTTGAACTTCAGGATTGATTTTATAAAAGTACCATAAAGAAACTAAGTAGAAACCTAAGCAGGTGAGAGGCTGAACCTCTAGCCCTATTTCATTCTTAGCACATTCACTGCATACTCTATAATGATACATATTTAAGAGGGGAATCTTTAAAGCCAAACTCTTTGGTCTTAAACTATGGCTCACTTTTTCTTAGCTGCTTGGTCTTAACCCAGCTGTTTAATCAATCTTCCTCATTCATAAGATTAAAATATCTTCATGGGCCGGGTATGTAGCTCAGTGTTAGAGTGCTTTTGTATGTGTGAGGCCCTGGGTCCCTTCTCCAGCCCCATTAAGAAAAAAAATACCCTTTTCATATATTGGTTGTAAGAATTAAATGAGTTGATGCTGCATTGTACTTTGAGTAGTGCCTACCAATTAGTAAGCACTAAAATATCTGCCCTTTGGCTTATTATTGCCACCATTGTTGTTATCAACATAAGATTTCATTTGATAAAGGATTTTGTTCCCTTAAGAAAGTTTTTAAATTTTCAGATGATTTAAAATGTTACTCCCAATTTTAAAATGTCATATTTTGTATTCTTTGGAGATTTAATACCTTAGTTAAAAGATGTTCAAATTTTGTTGCCCATAAATGGTCTGTCAGTATCTGTTATATGCCTACTGTGATAAAAACATCATGCTAGGCCCACAATAAACTGCTGGTGAATTTTTGTAATTATGGATGAATAGGTAAGCAGTAATATATTCTTTACTTCTGTAGTTTAGTATAATCTTCTCTGAGACAGATTTTAGAGCAGATATATCAAAAACAATCTCTAGTTAACAAATGTTGGTTGTATACTCATTCCAAACTCTGACTTGGCACCGTTGGAAATACATGAGACGTAACATATCTCTGCCTTTAAGGGATTTATGGTGCTGTAGTTTTGGAGACAGCTTTTTTACAAAATGAAGTACAGTAGAATTGAAGTCAAGGATGGAAAAATTTTTATATTGCTGGGAAGAATATGAGAAAAGAATTTCAGAAAATAGCATAATATGTATTAAGTTCATTGATTTACATGGAATATTGAGGAGACTGGCCTTTTAGAACTGAAGGCTTATGTTAGTGACTAAAGATTTGATAGATTGGTACCAGATTATGGAGACCTTATGTTATATATGTTTAAGAGATGAATTTTAGCAAGGTAGTATAACTTTTCTATCTGTACAGTGGAATATTATTTAGCTATTAAAAAGGAAATGATCTACTATTATGTGCTGCTTTATGGATGAATCTTGAAAATATGCTAAGTGAAAGAGGATAGATACAAAAGGCCAGATATATGATTCCATTATCGTGAAATATCCAAAATAGGCAAATCCTAGCAAAAAGTCAATCAGTGATGGCTAGGAATCAACATGGAGGCTAATGTAGATTTCTCCTGAGGATGATGGAAAGGTTTCAGAATCAGATAGTGATGATAGTTGAAAAATCTTGGGAATATACCAAAAGCCAATGAATTGCACACCTCAAAAGGGTAGATTACAGCTCAGTTTTTATTTTATTTTTCTTTGTGCTGGAAGTCAAACTCAGGGCTTTGTGCATTCTATAAGCACATGCTCTACCACTGAGCTGTGCTTCCAGCCCCTATATCTCAGTTTTTAAAAAAAAAACTGGAGTAGGAAAAAAACAGTAAATAAATCACTCATTGATTACATAATATGTGCTAAACACTCAGACAACTGGTGTAGTTAATAAAAAAGGAACTACAGTGGATATACTCTCTGCCTCTAAGGTTGCCTAGTATAGTCTGGGAGACAGACGTGTAAACAGATAGCATATAATGTATTCTGAAAAGTTCTGTAATGGACTTGTGTTGTTGGAACATAGGAAAAGGGATAACTAATCTCTCTCTTTTTTTTTTTTTTTTTTGGTACCGGGGATCGAACTCAGGTCCTTGTGCTTGTGCAGCAGGCAGGGAAACCACTGAGCTAAATCCCCGGCCCCTGGAATAACTAATTCTTGAGGGAGGTTTTGTAGAAGACTTCTTAGAGGTGAAGTGATGATACCTGAGCAACCTGCAAAAATATACATAACAAAGATGAAAGATCTTTGTGGATAGAGGAAGCAGCACAGGCAAAATTTATGGAGGTTTGAAGAGGAGTCCTTGGAAGGAAAACCTAGAATCTTAGAAATTATCTAAGATAAAACTGTGGTCATCTAATTCCCTGACTAGGATGTAACTGAAGATTAACTTTGTCCATAAGCCTGAATTTTTTGGATACTTGTGTGGTTTCATGAAGATATGAATATTTAGCCTGTCATGTTTTATTTTAGACCAAGGAATGAACCCAGGGCCTTCACAGTGAGCTATATATCTTCAGTCCTTTTTTAAAATTTTGAGGCAGGGTCTCACTAAGTTACTAAGTTATTCAGGCTGGGCTCAAACTTGTAATCCTCCTGCCTCAGCCTCCCAGAGTGCTGGGACTTAATGGGAGTGCATCGCCACACCCAGCTCAATCATGAATTATGTGCTTTTTCATGTTAAATCTTAAGAATTTGCCATTTCGAAAAACTAGTCCAAATTTTATAACATAACATTTTTCATGAAGGATCAGATAATCTGTGAGAAGCACTTCCATAGTACCTGGAATGAATTCAATAACTACTCCGTAAGTGTTAGTTATTATTGTTAAAAGAATATCCTAATCATTTTCCTATTGCTTCTAACTTATTGAAAATATGAGCAAAAACCTAAAATATCTTTAAACTCTAAGCCAAGATGTTTGTTCCTGTTATTTTACCTATGGTTCTTTATTTCTTTATGTGTTTTAATACATATTTACGTATAGAAATAAACACTTGCGCTAGACTAATCTGCACTAAATTTAAGACAGCTCATATACATTGCTGTTTGTACGTCTAGCTTTGAAAGGACTTGTCTAGTTTGAGAAAAACTCTAATCTGATTAGGATACAATACACTGAATTCCTCATTAGCAAAATCATTTTTTTAATTACTACGTATTTAAAGCTCTATCCAAGTTCTTACAAGAAGTTAAGAAATCTATTGTAAGATCCTCTGCAACTAATTAGTTGGTTACTCAACCAAGAAAATTCTTTTGTGTTTAGGGAGGAAAAAGGGTTGGATATTTTGCATCTGTTTAATGAGTTACCATTTCATTCACCCATCAAATATTTACTGACTAGCTACTATGTGCCAGGAGCTATTTTATTTGTCTAACAAATATTTACTGAGTACCTATGGTGTGCCAGAACTGTTACAGGTGCGAAGGACATAAGGGTTAACAAAATAGACCAAAAAATGGTCTTTTTAGAGTACCTTTCTGTTTAATGTAACTCTTACACTACAGATGCAATACATTCTTTTCTTTTCTTTTTTGCGGTACCAGGGATTGAACTCAGGACCTTTTGCTTGTGAGGTGGGCGCAGCGCCACCGAGCTAAATCCCTGGCCCTAATGTAACTCTTAGTAGAGGACATCATGTATGTCTTCTTTGTCCCAAATAATTCTACTGGTGGACTATATTGTTTTATCTTGGGAACTTACTGAACATGATTTTTTTAAACTCTCAGTAGGAAAAGTCTTTGTTTAAAGAACAGGTAAAAAGGGACTGATGAGTCACCTAAGTGCCTGGGGTTTGTTTTCATTTCCTATTCCTCTTAACTGGAATATGAAATCTGTTACTATGATCCTGTGAATTACCAAATGTAAGGTGGCAGTGAAATTCCTTGCTTTAGTTTTCACTGTAGAAAATATCTGACTTGGTTCCTGTTAATGGTTTCACTATATAATTTTATGAAAAATTTAAGCATCATAGTGATTTATCCTTTGCCCTTTGTTAAATTTTCTCTGTAGTAAAATTGGTTCTCCACCCAAGACTCCTGTAAGTAACATAGCTGCTACCTCAGCTGGGCCCTCTAATGTTGGAACAGAGCTGAATTCTGTGCCTCCAAAATCCAGCCCATTTCTAACTAGAGTACCAGTATATCCTCAGCATTCTGAAAACATTCAGTATTTTCAAGATCCAAGGACTCAGATACCCTTTGAAGTCCCACAATACCCACAGACAGGTAAGTAATTTTAGGCAGTTCTAATAAAAAAAGAAACTATAGTCTACTGCTAATGTTGTTTCCCTTAGATAAATGAAGGAGTTTTTATATATATCTACAATGTCTGAAATTAAAAAGTTAATCCCTTTGAATATATGACCCATAAGTTTTTGTCCTTTCCTAAGAATCTATGATTTTAAATACCAATTTTTTTTCATAACTTATGTATTGTGTGTATACATAGGAACACTCAGTAATAGAGAACTCAAAGGAGTGATTAGAACATGAGGTTGTGTATCATCTTACAAGAACAATAAAACTAGAAAAGTGATAAGACAAAGGAAAAGGACTTTGAGTTCCTAGGATGCCAAATTGTGAGAAGCTAAATAAGGAAAACTACTGAGTAAAGATAAAGACTAGTCATAAACCTTGTGTGGTTCCTGTGGTGCCCTTTTAGGGCCGATAAGGATCTAACATTCTGTGTTAATTAAGCTTCTGTCCTTCTTGGTAGGGAAGGGAGAAGGAACACATTTACAAAGATTATGTCCTGGGCTGGGGATGTAGCTCAGTGGTGCTGCACCTGCCTGGCAAGCTCAAGGTCCTGAGTTCGATCCCTGGTACCAAAAAAAAAAAACCAGAGTATGTCCTACATTTAGGCAAATGAGGGATAGAGATCTTTTTCTTGTTTCTGCTTCTTTTTACTTACTTTTCAGCTCAAAATAATCCTTCTGTCAAAGTGGTATATCCTGGCATATTCTGCCATCCTTTAGTGTCCTCCTGACTATGTTGTGTTTTAAATTTTTTTTCCTCCTCTCTAATAGCTGATAGATTAAAATATTACACTTTTACACATTATTGAGGTACCCTATGATACACACACACACACACACACACTTTGTGTAATATTTAAACATACCTATCTCTTCAAACATTGATCATTTCTTTATGGTGAAAACATTCAAAATCCTTCTAGCTTTTTGAAATACATGAAATACATAATTATTATCTATGGTCACCCTAAATGGGTGTCCAGATGTCTCTTTTCACATACTGATATCTTTTCCTTTGGATATCCCAGTAGTGGGATTGGTGGATCATAGGTGGCTCTATTTTTATCTCTAAGGAACCGCCATACTGTTTTTCATAATGGCTGTACTAGTTTACCTTCACAGCAGCAGTGGGCAGGGGTTCTCTTTTCTCTATATCTTTGCCAGCACTTTAATATTTTTGATAATAGCCACCATTCTTAGTGGAGTGAGGTACCTCATTTTGGCTTTTACCTGATATTTTCCTGATTAATTAGTAATGTGATATTGAGCATTTTTTCATATACGTATTAGCCCTTTGTATGTCTGTCTTTTTTTTTTTAAACAGTACTGGGGATGGAACCCAGAGTCTTCACATTGAACTATATCCCCAGCCTTTTATTTTTTATTTTGAAATGGAATCTTGCTGAACTGCCCAAGCTGGCCTCAAACCTGTGATCTTTTTGCCTCAGCCTCCCAGAGTGCTGAAATTACAGGGGTGTGCCATGATGCCGGGCTTGGGTGCTTTCTTTTGAAGTGTGTATCTGTTTATATAATTTTGCGGTGATGGGAACTGAACACAAAGCTTTGCACTAAGCTGTATCCCCAGTCCTTTGGTTTTTGTCTTTCTTTTAAATTTTGAGACAGGGTCTCACTAAATTACCCAGGCAGGCCTTGAACTGGAGATCCTCCTGCCTCACCCTCTTAAGTAGCTGAGATTACAGGCATGTATCACTGTGCCTGGCTTGCTTACATTTCTAATTGGGTTGTTTTGTTGCTTTTCAGATTTTTTAGTTCCTTCTACGTATTCTAGATATTAACCCCATGTATATTTTGCCCCATTATATATTGGACAATATATTATATGTATATTGTATGCAACATATATGTATATTTTCCTCCCATTCTATAAACTGTCGCTGCATTCTTCATTGTTTCCTTTTTTTTTTTT